TTGGAGGGGGTATCTGTAGGCGTATAAAACTGCCTATAGGTCCCTTAACACAGCTCAACAACGCCGATTTGACGAACCGACCATCGGGCGACGTATGCAGACACGATTGTTAGCCCACAACGCCGAAGCCAAGCGATACGGGACAAAGCGGATTAACGAGGCTACGAAGCTAAATGAACCACACACAAACAACGGAATAAATCCACTCGCGTGCGGAATCAAGCTAACGGGTTGAAGAGTCAACGAGTCATCCAACCAAGGGCGGACTCGGATGAATCACGACCGAATCAAGATCGGTTTCGGACTCGAACTCAGAAGTGGATTTCCTGCCAAATCAGGAATCTCGGCCAAAACCGAGCCACCTATGGGTGGCTCGGCCAAATCCGAGCCACCCATAGGTGCGGGGGGGGCGGCCCCACCTATAGGTGGCCGGCCCAGAGCCGAGCCACCTATAGGTGGCCGGCCAGATCTGTGCCCGGGCATAGTTCAGAGTGCCTATAAATAGGGGGCTTGGTTCATTTGTTCAAGGGTTGGATTTTTTGGAGGCGAAGCCCTACCGGATTCGAAGCTCAGATCTAAAAAAGATTCAAGAAAGGTTGGAAAATTTGGAGAGGCGAAGCCCTGTTGGATTGAAGACTCAGATCTAAAAAAGATCCAAGCTTTGGGATTTCGAGGACTTGCTCATCCAGATTTGGTGCTCGGCGATCGTCAACGCCAAATAAGGCAAGAGTTCGAGAGGACCGGATCTCAGATCTACGCAGGCGTACTCCGGATCAAAGCTTGGTCTTTGATCCCGAGAATTAAAGGCTACTATTTCCTTGGCGAAATAGTACCCTCGGCTATTATTTCCTTGGCAAAATAATACCTGTCGTACTGCGTAGATCCGATCGGATCTAGATCTCGCGGTGGTCCACGGATAAACCCCGGCGCAGGCAAAGAACCCACAAAGCGAGCGACCGCAAAACAGGAGCTCGCGATTTGTTCGACAAACAAGGATAAAAAGTTATAATCTTTCTTTTCTTTTATTTGATTTTCATTGTAACCGGATCTTATAAAAAGACCGAATCTTTGTAACTTAAAAAGCTGTTATTTAAGATGACAATGGAATCAATTACAAAGAAAGACACGATTTTTCCCCGCGAACAATCTGGCGACCACAGTGGGAGTCGCCGATCTCGCTGCCGAGATCGGAGCGTCGCAGCCGCGGATCTCAATCCCGGTCGTGGAGGAGGTCGAATACGAGTTCGACCAACAGAAGTTCGAGGAATACTTCACCACACACTTCTCTCGGTGTACAAGTGTATTACAAGTGAATCCTCACAATTAGGCACAATATGATAAATGATTGTTCTCTCTAACAAGGTGAGAACTCAATTAAGCACAACTCTTAGTCACAAACCCACAATCCCAAATTATACTATGAATGTAAATACAATAAGCTCAATAGGTTGTGTGTGAACAAAGAGATAAAACAATATAAACTCAATATGAAATCTAGCTTATGAAATTAAGAACAAACTTATAAAATGCTAGAATTGAGTTTAAGGAAACTTCTCTATAGATGACAAGTTAAGAACAAACTTATAAAATACTAGAATTGAGTTTAAGAAAACTTCTCTATAGATGACAAGAGAGAGGGAGAAGAATGAATGCTCAAACACCAAGGATGATCTCCACTTGCTCTTGTGAAATTTGCTCCACAAATCAAACTCTTGTAAATGCTTAAAAGCTTTTTAAACAAACACTAAACCCTTAAACAAAACTTGTAAACCTCTTAAAAACTTTTCTCTTATCAGTTATAGAATTGAATGCAATGGGGGTATATATAGCCTCCCAAGAATTCAGCCAAAAACCTGAGCAAAAGACAAAAACAGCCCCAAGGCAACGGTCAACGGCCGGTCGACCTGAAATTTTCATCGGTCGACCGGACCGGTCGACCGACAGACTCTCTGTCGCCCAGAGAACATATGCACTCAGGTTCGGTCGACCGGTGCGGTCGACCGAAAACGGATATGACAGAAAACTGAAAACTGTTTCTCTGATTTTAAAACGCTGTTTAAAAATATCAAATAAATTCCAAAAATATAAAATATAATCATTTTGCAAGGAGGTCCAAAACACGAAAATATAAACACATGAGTTTTGTCATTTTAGCTAAACCATGTTTTGAAACAATACAAAATGATTTTATAGACTTAATAGAAGATGTAAACTATTGTTATGAAGTCTATAAATAATGAATATAGTATTTTATCAAAATACACATATAATACACTAAAACATGATTTCATGGAACTAAATAAAATTGATATTGATGAAATCATATAAATGCATATAAGTATGAAACAAAAATATGTTTCTAATTATATTAAATTGTTTCATATTAAAACTTGAAAACTATCAAACCAAAACATATATGTATATATATATAACTATATATATACATGAAAACCAATAAATGTGTGTGTGTGTGTATGATATTGAGCTTAAAGTACCAACACACATAATATAAACTCCTAAACTAAATTACCCAAACTTGATGAAGGTCTTCAATGAGCTCAACTTGGTACACTTGCGGATGAAGCTTGAACTTGTTGAATTGTATAGGCTTCAACCCGACATTCCTCCAACCTCCTTTGGATATCATCGTTGAAGCGCTATTCTATCCATCCTCGAACAACGTTGTTTGTCTACAATGAATAGATAATACAAGCACTAGACAAACAACATTAGTTATAAATTGTTTGTTAAACATCATCAAAACAAGAAGGCCAACAAGAGGCACATTGAGTCCTGTTTTAATAGCTTGCTTATATCCGACATATACCGCTATATTGACTTGAGATGCATATGCTGTAACAATAAACAAATTTTGTAAAGCTAATCACATTATACAAAAATGCCAAAGGCCAACCAATAGTGAAATAAATCAAACACATATGCATCTCAACCTACCACTATATGAAAATCATAAAAAATTGATAAAGAAAATAAGCATAGGCTTATACTAATTAATCACATGTATTTATCCAATCAACAAGTAGTATGCGAGCAACCATATAGAAGGGTACAATCCATCAGAACAAACTTACATATAGTTAATATAATTTTATATGAAAAATACGCAGTGAATAATGTACAAATTCACCACTTACCTCAAGTCCGAAAATAATCCAACTACCCCTCACAACACCTCCTCGGAGTCACTTGGAACCCCTATAGAATACATATAATTGTCTGCCATGGCCAGAATTAAAAAACAATGTCAACATCACCTAGAATAGGATCTAAATAACCTAAAATAAGATTGGTGCATAGCCTTCATCTACAACAAATAATATTTTATAACAATATTAGATATAGAAGCAATACCTATGTAGAGTTGATCAATCACCACGTCCTTCCTCTCAACTCTAAACTTTTTTTTTTGTTGTTGAGCGGCGGGACAAGGACCAGAGCGGATAAAAAGGGACGACGGGATACAATGAAGGAATTAGGGTAGGGTTTCTAGGTATTTATAAAGGTTCTTTTTGCTAATAAAACCCTCTAATAAAAATTTACATTAAAACCCCTACACTTTTTCTTATATATCTATCTAAGGAAAACTTAGAATTATTACATACTACCCCTCTTAACAGAAGTTTTGTCCTCAAAACTTGGACATACCTGAGTCTTCAAATAAATTAGGATATTTTTCCTTCATCTCATCTTCATGCTCCCAGGTAGCTTCCTCAGCTGAATGATTTTTCCATAACACCTTCACTAGCTTAACAATTCTTGATCTCAAAGCTTGCTCCTTGCGGTCCAAAACTCTAACTGGATACTCTGAATATGTCAAATCTTCCTTGATCCCAAGGGGCTCATAATTCAATACATGACTCGGATCAAGTACACACTTCCTCAACATTGATACATGGAAAACATTATGAATTTTAGCTAACTCTGGAGGCAATGCAATTTTGTATGCTACAGCTTCAACCCTCTCCAAAATCTCAAAAGGTCCAATATATCTTGGACTCAACTTGCCCTTTCTTCCAAATCTCATCACTCCCTTAGTGGGTGATACTTTAAGGAAAATATGATCGCCGACTTCAAACTCCAACTTTCTTCTTCTATTATCGGCATAACTCTTCTGCCTGCTTTGAGCTATACGAAGCCTCTCACGTATCTGTTGAATCTTCTCAGTGGTAATCTGTACTATCTCAGGACCGAGCAGCCTTCTTTCTCCTACCTGATCCCAACAAATATGTGATCTACATCTCCTACCATACAGTGCTTCATAAGGGGACATATCAATACTGGAGTGATAGCTATTGTTATATGCAAACTCCACCAAAGGCAAATGTTTTTCCCAGCTACCCTTCAAATCCAAAACACAAGCACGAAGCATATCCTCCAATGTCTGTATAGTCCTCTCCGATTGCCCGTCCGTCTGCGGATGATAAGATGTGCTAAAACTCAATTGTGTTCCCAGAGCATTATTCAGACCTTGCCAAAATCTAGAACGAAATCTCGAATCTCTATCTGATATAATAGTCACTGGTATCCCATGCAATCTCACAATCTCCTTAACATATAATTCAGCAAGCTTCTCAAGAGAATGAGTAGTTTTACAAGGCAAGAAATGAGCCGATTTAGTAAGTCGATCAACAATCACCCATATAGTGTCATTACCACTCTGACTCCTAGGAAAACCAGTCACAAAATCCATTGTTACCTCCTCCCACTTCCACACAGGAATTGGGAGAGGCTGAAGTAGTTTGCCAGGCTTCTGATGTTCAATCTTGACTTGTTGGCACACCAAGCACCTAGACACAAATTCTGCAATATCTCGCTTCATGTCATTCCACCAAAATGTTTCTCGCAAATCTCTATACATCTTCGTTGATCTAGGATGAATTGTATATGCCGAACAGTGCGCCTCTTCTAGAACTTCTTTCTTCAACTCCGAATTATTAGGTACACATAAACGGTTTTTAAATCTCAAAGATCCATCATGAACTACAAAATCATGTTGAAGTCCATGTTCCACATCTGCTTTAATTTTTACAAGAACTGGATCATCATTTTGTGCAGCCACAAGCCTGTCAATCAAAGCAGGCTGAATTTTAAGATGAGCAAACATCACTCCAGATCCTCGAAGTCGAATATCAATATCCAGTCTCCTCAAGTCCTCCAGCATATGCTTCTGACTTGTGACCAAAGTGGCAACACTAGCATTGGACTTCCTACTCAAAGCATCAGCTACCACATTTGTCTTGCCGGGATGATAATGAATATTAAGATCATAATCCTTCATTAACTCCAACCACCGCCTTTGTCTCATATTTAACTCCTTAAGTGTGAAAATGTATTTAAGGCTCTTATGATCTGTGTAGATGTCACAAGTCTCCCCGTACAAATAGTGCCGCCAAATCTTCAATGTAAAGATAACAGCAGCTAACTCCAAATCATGAGTTGGGTAGTTCTTTTCATAAGGTTTAAGTTGTCTGGAGGCATATGCTACTACTTTCCCATTCTGCATAAGAACACAACCGAGGCCAATATGAGAAGCATCACTGTATATCACAAATCCACCTGATCCAGAAGGAATCGTGAGTATAGGTGCGGACACTAATCGATCCTTCAACTCCTGGTAGCTTTGCTCACACTTCTCTGTCCACTGAAACTTAACCCCTTTCTGAGTCAATCAAGTCAAAGGTGCTGCAATACGAGAAAATCCTTCGATAAACCTTCTATAATAACCAGCCAATCCCAGAAAGCTTCGTATCTCGGTCATGGTGCTAGGTCTCTTCCAATCGACAATTGCTTCTATCTTTGAAGGATCCACTGACACCCCTTCTTTAGAAATAACATGCCCCAAGAATGAGACACTCTCCAACCAGAATTCACACTTTTTCAACCTTGCATACAATTTATGCTCCAAAAGTAATTGCAAAATAGTTCTTAAGTGTTCTTCGCGTTCCTCCCGGCTTCTTGAGTAGATCAAAATATCATCAATAAAAACAACTACAAACTGGTCGAGATAAGACCTAAATACACCCTATTCATCAAGTCCATAAAAGCAGCTGGGGCATTTGTCAATCCAAATGGCATCACCAAGAATTCATAGTGTCCATATCTTGTTCTAAATGCAGTCTTCGAAACATCTTCAGGCTTAATCTTGAGCTGATGATAACCAGACCGAAGGTCAATCTTTGAGAACACCTGGGCTCCCTTCAACTGATCAAATAAATCATCAATCCGAGGCAAAGGATATTTATTCTTCACAGTCACCCTGTTCAATTCTCGATAATCTATACAAAGTCTCATGCTCCCATCTTTCTTCTTCACAAAAAGTACTGTCTCATGCTCCCATCTTTCTTCTTCACAAAAAGTACTGGAGCACCCCAAGGAGATACACTCGGCCTGATAAAGCCCTTATCTAACAACTCCTGCAATTGAGTCTTCAACTCCCTCATCTCTACCGGTGCCATGCGATAAGGTGCTTTTGAGATCGGCCCTGTTCCTGGAATTAATTCAATAGCGAACTCAATCTCCCTGTCAGGTGGTAGCCCTGGCAAGTCTTCAGGAAAAACATCAGGGTATTCTCGAACAATTGGAATTTCATCCAAAATGACTTCATTCTTCTCGGTACAAACCACACTAGCAAGATAACCACGACAACCTTTTCTTAGAAGTCTACAGGCTCGCATAGCTGAAATAACACATGGAGGTACACTAACACTCGATCCCTCGAAACAAAACTCGGACTCCCCAGGAATTCTGAATGAAACTCGCTTCTAAAAATAATCTAGAGATGCATGATAAGTAGAAAGCCAATCCATGCCAAGAATAACATCAAAGTCATGAATATCAAGTAGCACAAGACTCGCAAGCAAGGTTCGATCTCCCACTATGACCTCACATCCATTAAAGATGTGATTAGTGATCATACAATCACCGGATGGGGTAAAAACTGATAGCTCAGATTCTAAGAATTCTGGAGTTCTATCCAACTTACTAGCAAAGCTATGAGATATAAATGAATGAGAAGAACCAGAATCAAACAACACATGTGCTAGCTGAGAGGAAATAACAAGTGCACCTGCAACAACAGAGTTAGATGCGAGAGCATCCTGCTTCGTCAAGGCAAATACTCTCCCTTGTGTCTTAGATTTCTGACCATCACCAGGTGTAGGCTTCGCTTTCTGATCATCAGTCTTGGGTCCCTTCTTTGCTGGACAATCTCTCATAATATGGCCCTGTTGGCCACACTCAAAACAACCTCGGAATAAAGAACAAACACGGCCTTTGTGATTTTTGCCGCATTTATAACACTGTCCATCATGCCTCTGAATAGGATAAAGAACAAACACGGCCTTTGTGATTTTTGCCGCATTTATAACACTGTCCATCATGCCTCTGAATAGGAGGACCTGATCTCTGCACAAACTGGCCCGATCTCTGTACTGGAGCTCCTGACCCTCGAAATGCTGGCTTCTTAAAAGGCTTAAAAGCTAACTTATCTTTCTGATTATTCTCATCCCTGTTCCGCTTTTTCTGGTCCCAGCTTTTGTTTGGTTCATCTGCAATCTTTTCTCCCTTACTTGCTTTTTTGGCCCTTTTTGCTCGCTCCACTGCCTCCTCAAAAGTCTTTGACATGATCACTGTAACCTTCTGATGAATTTCTGGCCTCAGTCCATTCTCAAACATCTCTATCTTATCAAATTCTTCTGTAACTAGCTCAGGTGCATATCGGGATAACTCATTAAACTTAGCTTCATATTCTTCCACTGTCATGCCATCCTGCTGCAATTCCATAAGCTCCCTCTTCTTGCGAGATCGAACATACAAGGGAAAATATTTCTCCCTAAATAATTTAACAAATGTGCTCCAAGGAACATCCTCCCCCTCAAGTGATAAACTAGCCTCCTTAGTTTCCCACCAGATCTCTGCCTCTCCTTCTAGCATAAATGTGGCATAAATAACTTTTTGTTCCTCTGAACATCCTAAGGCTCTGAAGTACTTCTCTATTTTTTTTAGCCATTCTTGTGCCACCGTTGGATCAGAACCTCCCTGAAAAGATGGTGGAGACATCTTCTTAAATTTTTCAAAGTCACTGCCAATAGGTTTAGTCTTCTTCTGTGTATTTAATGCTTCGCTCAGCTTCTCAATTGCCTCTGACTGCTTTTCAAGGATCTCCATTTGCCTCTCCATGAAACCACTCTGCATCTCAATAAAACTGGTGAGTCCTTCAACACCCCACTGAGCTCCAGCAATCCCTCTCGTGGTCCTAGCAGTACGGGTAGACATACCCCCACGAGTTCTGGGTCCTGATCTTCCCCTGACATTCTCATCAGGAGCCTCATTTGTAACATTAGGGGTCTCGATGTTTTGTCGACCTGCATCATCATTTCCACCAACCCTAGTCCGGGGACGCCTACTCGATTGGGGTATATTCGAAGGTAGCGCAACCCCCGCATTAGCATCAAGTCTAGGAGAAGAGCGCCTCGCTGCAACACTAGAACCTCTCTTACCACGAGCCATCTCAATCTAACAATATCAGAAACAAATATATTTAGTACAAAATATTCATCATATTAATTATTATTAAATCAATTCATAACATATTCGTCACAAGCATAAGTAATCAAATAATATTTTTTCATGAAATGCATACACTAGTCATACCTTAAACTACCCAGACTAAAGTCTTTTACCTTTAAGAAAACAAAACTAAATAGATTATGTGATCCATGGTTCTAATCTTATATATTCCTATACATGAAATTTGATCTAATAGTGTTCATGTCGTCCTCGATCACACTTCAAAAATAAATTATCATATTCCATCATTATATTCCATCTTCATTATTATTTCCACTAACTCTAACTAGGACCTACAGCCTAGGCTCTGATACCATTCTGTCACGACCCCAATTTCCGAACCTCAAAGGAATATTAGAGCCGGACTAAACCTGTGAAAAGTCCTCCAAAATATACATTCATTAAAAGAACACTAAAACAAATCTCTTCATTGAACTAAAACCAACAACAAATATTCTCTATAATCCCAAAAGTCAACTAAGCCAATTAACTTGATAAAAATAAATATTCCTCAACTCCAAATAAATCTCAACCTAAAGAAAGAATCTCATTATTACAAACTCTCAATTCATCATCTAAACATTAAAGACTTTATTTAACCTTCGCCTAGAAGACAATAACAATCTCGAATTATTCTTTGCTTCGTTCTAAGAATTTGACAATCCTCAATTCCACCTAATCCCGAGTCTCTGAAAAGAATAGAAATAATACAATGAGTTCACAACTCAATAAGTGGATAAATTCATACATTAAACACTGGTTTTGCAAAACTAAAATATTACAACGAGAAATAAACAAAATATAAGAATGATATAGAATCATTAATGAACTCTAGTATTTGATACAAATATTTAAGAAAATTAGAAATCATGGAATAGAAATAAGCATGCTACGTCTCAATGCGGTCAACACTTCATACTCCGGTTGACTCGGTAAACCCCACAATTATTAAGCCCATGGTTCCGGGACGGTGAGACCCAATTTGGGCTCTTAGCGCTAAAATAAAACCTCATAGAGGCACACTGAGTCCTGTTTTAATAGCTTGCTTATATCCGACATATACCGGTATATTGACTTGAGATGCATATCCTTTAACAATAAACAAATTTCGTAAAGCTAATCACATTATACAAAAATGCCAAAGGCCAACCAATAGTGAAATAAATCAAACACATATGCATCTCAACCTACCACTATATGAAAATCATAAAAAATTGATAAAGAAAATAAGCATAGGCTTATACTAATTAATCACATGCATTTATCCAATCAACAAGTAGTATGCGAGCAACCATATAGAAGGGTATAATCCATCAGAACAAACTTACATATAGTCAATATAATTTTATACGAAAAATACGCAGCGAATAATGTACAAATTCACCACTTACTCAAATCCGAAAGACTATCAGAATACCAATCACGACACCTCCTCGAAGTCACTTGGGATTCCTATATAATATATACAAATAACCATCAATATAGACATCCTACCAAATACTAATGACATATAATAATCTCTGTACATCTATGACATATAATAATCTCTGTACATTAATAGTTTACTTAACTCTACTAGCTTTTCTTTTAAAGACCATATCTTGCAACTTTGCTGCAGTAAAAGACGTGGTAGTTCATGGCAAAGAAGATCAACAAGAAGAGTCTGTAGGTATTTTCCTTTTTTTTATAAATTTATTTTCATAATCATGGTTTAAAATCATTATAACTATTTTTTTGCTCACAGGCTAATACAAAAGCTGAAAACTATTGCTCATGCTTTCTCCTACCGCCTGACATTATTGTTGATATACTATCAAGATTACCAGCAAAGTCTATAACCACTTGACCCAAATAAATTAATATAATGAATGGTTAGATCAATGTGCAAACTTCTGCATAAACATATTCCTAAAGATAGTATAACAAGATATACCTTGCTTGATGATCAAACACCTGTCGCCTTCCCCCTTAAGATGATTCTTTTCTCTTATAGAAAGACGAGACCTTAGGGTTTTTTTTTTTTTTTTGTGCGGCTAAACAGATGACGGAAAACAAGTAGGGTTTTTTGATTTCGCCTGTGATTTCTTTTAATTTTTTTTATGCAACGGCTTCGATAACACCAGCTATAGATGTGGCATCAGCCATTAAACCTTCTTTCTGTTGCATAAGACAGAAAAGCCTCAGCGGTGCTGTAGGAAATCCAAATTGAACACAGCCGTGTATCATTGTGCTCCATGTCACTAGATTCCTGAGTGTCATCTTCGAAAATATGCAGCAGGCAACATTCATTAGCCCACATTTGATGAATAATTCTAACAATGACGAGATAACAAAAACATCAGAATTGAATTTGCTCCTGATTACATGAGTCTGTGACTTTACTTTAGCACTCTATTTCACAGAATTGTTACTTTAACTTTGTTCACTTTTGCTAAAATTGAAATTATACACATTGTTCATGAAGGGAAATTTTTGAATACTTGTTTTAAGTTCTGATGCTTCTTTTAATTCTATGATTAATTACTTATTTGACGCCTCATGCTACTCTTTTTTAAGTTGTAGTAAGTATGTATTTTTCTATGACTACCTTGAAATGACCAAACTGAACCAAACTTCCTTATATGATGAATTAACAGAACGCAAATGAACATGTAAATAATATATTTAGTATCATAGTGTTTGAATAGTACATGTTAAAGACTATTACACAATATTATATAAGAGTATTGTGGTGTCAACTAAATGTTGTCACAGACATCATCAAGGTAACAAATTCTACATATAGAGTGGTTTATCATCGTACAGTCAATATAAAACACATAAAAGTTGTATGTTGAAAAATATAAACAGATCAACTCATTTACCAATAGAATTGTTAAAATTAGTATCATCGACACAGTGTTCTACATTTGTAAAGACAAACAATTAACATATAGAGTACATATATATATATATAGTCAGTAAATCATCATGTCACAGTTAGTCATAAATATGTTTTAATATACAAAACACACACAAACATAAGTGTATATATGTATCATCATACATGATATAAATGTAATATGTATTGCATGTATCTTATGTTCCAGCGTACATACTATACGTCCAAATAGTATAGTACACTGTATGTGATATTTGAATCATGTATCTAATTGATTTTAATTGAGTTCTTTTATTTTTCAGTTTTTGATTTCGCCTGTGAATTCTAAAATTGAAATTATGCACATTATGCATGAAGGGGAATTTTTGAATACTTGTTTTAAGTTCTGATGCTTCTTTTAATTCTATGATTAATTACTTATTTGACACCTCATGCTACTCTTTTTTAATTTGCAATATGTATTTTTCTGTGACTACCTTGAAATTACAAAACTAAACCAAACTTCCTTATATGATGAATTAACAGAAACAGGTAAAGTTTCTTTCTTTGAAATTGTTGGATTGTGGATGGGCCTATCTCTATTTTGTTGTTTTTATTTTTGAATAATCATTATTCTTCAACCTGAGGCAGTATAAGATGACAGTATGCGGTTTCTTATTAAGGGTCGTAATTACCTTACAGTGGATCATCATTCATGGTAAAAATGGAATGTGACCCTTGTTAGGAGAAATAGGATTAGTTCCGTGCATAATTGGTTTTCACATCAAAGGTGTTGTTGCTTGATAATATAGACACTTTTAGGTCTGATCGTATTCATTATTTTATAATTTTCTGCATTTGTCTCCTTGTGAAGCCTGGAGTTTTTGCCATGATCGATGCAAATATTCATTTTTGTTTTGTTCTGTTGTGCACTGCACTGCATATATTTTCTTTTTGATGCGGCTAACTTCTATTACTACCTTGGCTATCATATTGTGAAGCAGATCAGTGGTATGAAATAATTAATAGCGGGGGTGAGTCTAAAAAATCTGCGATAGGAAGAGAAATGAAAAGAGATGGAAGATTGTAGGTGTTGAAACAAGGTAATATGTGAATAACCCTTTACTTTTTAACCCTTCACTTTTCACACGCACTGCCAAATCACTGAAGGCCATGTCTTCGCTATCCTTTTTATTTCTTAATGTTCTAACTTCACATAATTTAAAAAGTCAAGGTATGATGAAGGTGAAAGTTCCACCAAGTACAAATGAAGGTATAGACCTGGAAAAAGTGAAGTATGAGCTTTGAACATTGCGATGGGAAGATAAATGAGAAAGAGATAGAAGATGACAAAGTAATAACATGAGTTGTAATTTTCATTGCATTCATGTTTTTTAAGCAGTGTAGGTAGCTCCAATTGTGAGTTTCAGACAATGGCAATGGAGGCTTTGGTGACATTCAACAAAGAATGCTATGCCTTGGATTCGTATGGAGGCTTTAGTGACATTCAACAAAGTCTGCCGCAGGTATAGTCCAGCATCCCTTTTACATGCTCTAACCGCATAACAATCGAAGAGGAAAATTATACAGAAACGAGGATATGTTTTTTCCGCAGTCTACTTATTGAAGTACTGATGCTTATTGATGCAGGATTCTTCAAGCACCATTTTCTGTATTATCTATATCTCAAAACAATGTGGATGTTTCCTTTGAAAAGGACCCGAACATCCAGTCTTTAGAACTACATTATAATGCCTGTAATACGTCCTTATTGCCATGTTATTCTGATGGAGTTGATGACACACATCAGAGCACTTCTACCTTAGTGCCAAAAAAATACCTGCAGGATGGAAGCCATCATCAGATAACAAAAAAACATGGAAAGTTAAAGGCTTTACTAGGTAGAAAATTGGGATAAAATATCTTTAAACAAGATTTTATTGACTGATTGTTAAAGTGTTGCATTTTTTTTCCTTTTAATCTTGCAGCTTGATAGTTGCTGCACCAGAAATGGATGTGGAGAGTATAATTAAAGATTTACTACCAATTTTATCATATTATGCACCTTTGGCAATTTATCATAAATACCTTCAGGTGTGTTATGTCAACCTCAAGTTGGGAACTACAATCTCCTTTTGCTATAGGTTCAGAATATTGCACGATCTGAATAAAATGAATGTCTGCGGTGACAATACACCATTGTTTTTCAAATGTGAATACTCATAACAAATTGCATTTTAACATTTTGATGGGTTCAAGTACCACTCAAATAGTATTGCCTTCTTCACCCTTTCTACAATTAGCAATTACTTTTTAGTTTTTCCACTTAACTTCAAAGAGCCATGATGTAGAAGACTCACATTTACTACCAAATAAACTAAAAAAGGCAAACAATTAGTAATCATTTTTTGAGCTTCCGCCCTTAACTTCGAAGAACCTTAATGTAGAATTCTCTCATTTACAACTAATAATGGGTGATAGAGTATGATTCTGGACATTTTAGCCAATTATGGACACATGATTAAGCAAATTATGGGGTTTATAAAATACATTCTACTACTATAGAAACAATGAAACTAAGGCAGTAAACTATTCAATGATTTAATTCTTCATCATTAAATGCATGTATTTTTGATGCTTTTTTATTTATGACCTAATAACATTTATATATAAATCTAATCGGTATTGTTTAAATTATAATGATGAAGGTGCAGCAAGGGCTCAATTGGCTTGGCCACATGCTTGGACTTTTGGACAATCTTCTGGAAAGCAGACTTTCGAAATACTATTGAATAAAGCCCATTCTTAAAGAAAGCGACGGCTAACCTCTAACGTTGTATTACTCGTCTCAAATGTAACATTAATCATTCAGTTTAGTAGCTTTAGTGAGTCATCGAGTGAAACATTTGTACTGAGAGCATGACTGATAATGCATGTATAATGTTTGGACGCTTACATCACAGTGAAAGGAACTGCATAAATACAGAGGAAAACAGTGCATTGTTGGTAGATGATGGCTGTTTGCCTTCTTAACTTGTAATTCTTTTACATTCTTATAAGTTTCTCTCGAACGGTCAAATGTGTTCAATTTAATTTAAATCTAATCGGTATTGTTTTCTGCAACGAGAATTCACTTATGATAAATTAATGTGAGCCCTTAACCAGCTTACAAATTTGCATTGGCCCCCCAATCAATCAATAAATGTAATTTAATTGTTAAAATGTTGAATGTTTAGATTATGTCTATATGTTTTATCCATTACTTACATTCCATAATTTTATAACAAAACATTATAAATAAAAGTATAAATTTAAAACAAAAAATGAAAACTTTACCACGAAACAACAATGTCAACATCACCTAGAATAGGATCTAAATAACCTAAAATAAGATTGGTGCATAGCCTTCATCTACAACAAATAATATTTTATAACAATATTAGATATAGAAGCAATACCTATGTAGAGTTGATCAATCACCACTTCCTTCCTCTCAACTCTAAACTTTTTTTTTTTGTTGAGCGGCGGGACAAGGACCAGAGCAGATAAAAAGGGACGACGGGATACAATGAAGGGATTAGGGTAGGGTTTCTAGGTATTTATAAAGGTTCTTTTTGCTAATAAAACCCTCTAATAAAAATTTACATTAAAACCCCTACACTTTTTCTTATATATATCTATCTAAGGAAAACTTAGAATTATTACACTCCTCGAACTTTTGTTGGTCGAATTCATATTCGACCTCCTCCTCGACCGGGATTGAGATTCGCGGCTGCGACGCAACGATCTCGGCAGCGAGATCGGTGGCTCCCACTGTGGTCGCCAGATTGTTCGCGAGAAAAATTACACTCATTGATTCCATTGATTCCTTTGTTAACAGTTTATCAGTTACAAAGATCCGGTCTTTTTATAAGATCCGGTTACAACGAGATCAAAGAAAAAATAAAAATTATAACTTTCCTTGAACAAATCACAAGATCCTGTTTTGCGGTCTCTTGCTTGTGTGGGTTCTTCGCCTGCGCCGGAGTTAATCCGTGGACCACCACGCGATCTTGATCCGGTCGGATCTACACGTTATGACGGGTGCTATTTCACGAAGGAAATAACAACCGGGGATACTATTTCGCCAAGGAAATAATAGCCTTTAGTAATCGAAATCGACCAAGCGAAATCGAGACTCTTCTCGGAATCAAAGGCCAAGCTTTGATCCGGAGGAAAACTGTGTAGATCTTAGATCTGATCTCTCTCGAACTCCTGCCTTATTTGGCGTGGATGATCGCCAAGAACCAGATCTGAGACTCCGAGTCTTCTAAGTTGAAAATCCGAGGGTGAGTTCTCAATCCAGCAGAGTTTCGGCTCCAAAATTCCAACCCTTGAAAAATGAACCATCCCACTCTAAAATTTATAGCCTTCTGAAAGCGGGATCTAGGCTCCAATCTGGGCGCCAGATCCCAGCTGGCTCGGGAGGTGGCTTCGGGCCACCGAGCCGACCGCCCTGGTGGCTCGGCCGCCGCGGCCCCCGCCACCGCCGCCGCGCGGCCGCCGCGCCCGCCGGCCCCCGGCGGCCCGGCCGGGGCGCCCCCCCGCGCGCGCCGCGCCCGGTGCGCGCGGTCCCCCGGCCCGGCCGCCCGGCGCGCCGGGCCCATGGCGCCGAGGGCACCACTAAGGGTGGCTTGCGAGGTGGCCGCGCCGAGCCAGCCTCAAGGTGCTCGGTGCCACCGAGGGTGGCTCGGCCGACCGAGCCACCCGAGAGGTGGCTCGGCCCACTGGCCGAGCCACCTGGGTGGTTCGGCTTTGGCCTGAGTCGCCCGGGTGTTTCGCCGTGTCTGTCCGTTGTCCGTTTCGCGGTTTCGCGGTTATATTTCGGTTTATCGAGCTTGCGTCGTTGATCTGAACTCTGATTTAGCAGTCCGGATCCCGATTGTTGGCAGTAAAATGGCCGACCTCGGTGTTTAAAACATCGTCGCCTCGTTAATCTGCTTCGTCGCATCTCACTTAGCTTCGATGTTGCGGTCTAACGATTACGCTTGGATACATCGCCCGATGGTTCGTTGGTTTGTTGAATCACCGTGCCGAGCTGTGTTAAGGGACCTATAAGCAGTTTTATACGCCTACAGTGAAATTATTAGTGTATAATTAATGAAGGGAATTTGATTAGTCAGTAAGAGAATATACATAAATCCTTTAATTATAGGTTCATTTTCTCATTAAAAATTCATATTAAATGCATTATTTGTGAGTTTAGAAGGGGTGAGTCATAAATTAGTTTATTAGCTAGGATTCATTTATTGTATTGCAATAGTTTTTTCATGAAAGAAAATATTAAGATACATCAAAACTAAACTGAAAACCCAGAAGCACAGCAAAAAAATGAGCATTTATGCTGCTCAATATCAGTCTGTAAAACATTATGTAAAAATGATGGTGAATCTTCAAGCAATACCACAACTCATTAATTTGCTTAGCTCTTCAGACCAACACATGAGCCGTTATATTCTTCATTTGATGAACTATCTAAAAATCTCATTCCTCAAGTCATGTGCAACATCGCTGAATATCATTCACAAAGTGTTTGAAAATCGAGTGTTGCTCCACCCTATTATGGATATCTCTAACCATCGCATCCGCATCTTCTTCAAAAATTATCTTTCCACATCCAATGTCAAGAGCAAATGTAATAGCTTTCCACACCGCCTGGAATTCCGCATGCTTAGAATTACCTCGTATCCAAATACTATGATAAGTATATTATAATAGTTAGTACCATATATTATGATAATTTATATGCTATTTCTAGATTATAGTAAGAGGTTAACATTTATATTAGTATTCCTCTCCAAGGATTTTTTTACAAATCAGATGCACATATCAATATATTATAGTATTGGATTAGATGTTAGATGTTTAATTAAATATATAATTATCGTAAATTATGATACAATTTATAAATATAAGTTATGATATTATTATCTTATATATTAAAATTATATTTTTTGTGTAATCTAATATCTAAAGTGAAATATTTATCTTATTTAACACAACACTAATATATGTAAAATTTATAATATATCGGTTCTTATGTTTAGTGCAAGAATAATTATAGTGTAATAAATTGAATAAATTGAATAAAATTTATGATTAAAATTTATAATATATATTTAGTTCTTAGTATTAGTTCTCATGTTTATTTTAAGAATAATTATAGTGTAATAAATATAATTGATTCAATAAATTTCAAGGCATTATTGTGAATTATCAAATTTTGAAAGGGTAAAAGAGGCAATCAAAAGTTTTAATACCTGAATCCTCTTTTATATGTAGTATAGATATAGATAGATGACTTATTTACATTTGTCTATTATTATTTTCTTCTAGTTTCTCATATACTTTCTACGTATCTCACAAATTAGTTCTATTAATATTTCCTCTTGGTTGTGGGAATTTGATTGTAGGAAACTTTCTTTGCTTCCCTCTATTCTTTTTCTTGGTCAATTTAGAAAAAAAAAATCATTGTTTTTACTTCTATGGCGTGAGAATTTGTTGAAGAAATTAAGCTTCTACTGTGAAGATTTAACATTGCATGATTATTTTATTGACTATTAAGGATGATAATGAAGAACGGGGATAAGAATTATTGTGTGAATTCTACAATTCATGTCAAAGAGGGTTATGACGATGTTGATTAGCATATTAGTATTGAGATTGACATTTTTTTACGGAAAGACACACAACTTGTTTAAAGTTAGATAAATGCCATAATTGCATAATTGTCACTAAACAATTTGATAACTATATCTATTAGATCAGAGGGTGCATTTCTAAATGTTGATGAATAAAGAAATAGTTTTTCTAATATTTAGATTTTTGGAGTAATTTTGCACACTCATGATTTACGGGTTATACATCTATATGTTATTTGAAATTATTTGAATAGGGGTGGAAATCACTCAAATGAATTCGACACACAATCATAAGAAATCATTTCTCACTTTGGTTTTTAGATGGGTTGAAAATGTAGAAAATGGTTTTCTTAAAGCTATGAAAAATTGGCTCAAATGGGAAATCCATTTTGTCATTTTTGGGACATCAAAGCACATAAAGCAAAAAAACTGACAACCAAATAATTTTTTTTAACCTCATGTGGGTTGGTGTTGTATCAAATATCAATTATAATTTAAGTTTTTCACGTGGATAAATTCTTATTTTATGTGATTGAATCCAACTAATGAAAATCAATGAGGATTAGTTTCCTACTCCATCTTGTCGAAGGAAATCCTAAAAAACACTTTCCAAGAAAAGTTTGGAGTTATTTAGAAATGATTTTCATTTCCTAAGATTGTTTTGTTTTATAAAGAAAAAGGGTTTTTTTTCCAATATCAGTCCATCAAATCTTTCGTATTTTGATATTTGTCCTCTACATTTTCATATTTTGAAATTAGCACCCCAAAATTTTAAGTATTTTCAACATAGTCTGCCAAATCTTCATAGTTTTTAATTAGCCCCTTAAATCCTATATATATTTTAATATTAGTCCTTCTCATTATCACCAGAGTGAAAGATTAGGGGACTAAATTTCAAAATGCTTCAAGGATTAGGGTACTAATTACAAATATGCAAATTTGAGGTACTAATTTCAAATAAAATTTGAATATCCGATGGGCTATAAATAATAGGACAAAATTTCAAACCTGTTTGCCAAAAAATTCCCCAAAAAAGATCCGTTTCAAACTTAATTTCAAAAACCGACCTAGTTGGACACAAACTGGGTCGGTTTTTGAAAAAAAAAATCCCCAAACTTCACGGGAGTTGAAGTCCCGTGAAGTTTCTTCACGGGACTCGTGAAGTCCCGTGAAGTTTCTTCACGGGACTTCAACTCCCGTGAAGTTTGAGAACTTTTTTTTAAACAGACCCAGTTTCAACCAACTGGATCTGTTTTTGAAATTAAGTTTGAAATGAGTCTGTTTTTAGGAATAAAATTCGAAATAGGTTGGTTATGAAAATTTGTCCATAAATAATATCAAAATAATCAAGATGCGGTGGACTAATACCAAAATACCCCTAGAAAACAAACAACCCGGTTCGTCTATATAGGGACGCGTGTCATTAAATTCCACAGGGGCACCAGAACTGGTCATTCTCGTCAAGAGAAAGAAGCCGGATCCCGCTCGAGAGCGAGAACAAAGAGAACGGAAGTGCGAAAAGAATAAAATTAAAGCAGAGAGAGAGGAGAGAGAAAGTGCAAGAATCAAGAGAGAGGGACAGATGGGGAACGTGATCGGAGATTTGATGAACAAGGAACCTCCATCGCCGATGGTTCTGGTTCCGCCCATCTTCGATTTCCCTCCTCTCGCTGCTCGAACCAGGTCACTCAACCCCCACCCCCACCCACCTTCCCCCCTCGATTTTTCTGTGATTTTAGTCCTTTTTTTTTGCAAAGAGAGAATTTCAACCCTAATCTTGTGATGAAAGAAAACCGCACCAAAATCTAACCTAATAAGAAATGTAACTCTCAAACAACAATTTATATCTGGGATTTGGTCTTTTTTGTATTTACATTTTCTGTATTTTTGTGCAATTTTCAACCCTTAAATGATGTTTTTAGTTAATTTTGTATGAATGTGCTTGTCATTTTATGTTAGAAGAAAGGACAAATTTTTATTTTCGACCATTGTTAAAATTTGTTTAGCATTTTTGACCTACTTGAATAATTGAAATTTATCTTTCTTGGGGTTAACCACTTGACCAACTATTGTAATTATGCTAGATTTGAACTTGAAATTATATATCGATTCCCTACTTGCCCTTTCAACAGCATATAACTTATATTGCAATGGGCTAACCATGTAGCCAACTACATGGGATTGTCAATCCCATGTAGTTTTTTCATTATAAACTTCATGGTCCTGTGAAATTTAGCCTAGTTCTAAACTACATGGGATTGAGAATCCCGTGTAGTTTAATTTTCTACTAAACTACATGGGATTCTCAATCCCGTGTAGTTTTTTACACTTATTTATCAATTTCGACCCAGTTTCTGCCAAGTTGCTGAAACTAGGTCGAAAATGATAAATAAGTGCAAAGTAGGTCGAATTTGATAATTAGGTTTTAAAAATGATTGAAAATGAAAATTTTCCCTAGAAGAAAAGTATAGCGAAATCTAACCTAGTGAAAATTGGCCCTTTTATTAAATCAGGAGGTTTTGTTAACTTACCAAAATCTAACCTAACAAATTCAACCTCTTACGAACTTGCCTCTATGATTTCCTTTTGCATTAACCCATTTCAGGATTTTTACCCTTTTGATAAAATTTAAACTTTCTTGTGTTTTAGTTAATTAGCTTTGCATATAAACGATCTTGCGTATTTATGTTTGAAGAAACAAATACAAATATCTGACCCAGTGATATTTGAGGTAGTCTGAACTTTCAACTTTCTTTTCTGTCAACTTTCCTGTTGCCCCCACTTTGGATTTCACCCTTTTTGATAAATTTCAATTTTCCTGTGGTGTTTTATTAAATTTTTCTTAAATGTACTTGTAACCTTAACCTTGAAATAAGACACACGGTAAGAATTTAACCTAATAAAATGTCACCCATTTCAGGATTTTATCTGCTTGTTTTCAAGCTTCAATTCTATTTTGGTGTTTCAGTTAATTATTATGTGACCTAACAATATTGGAGAAAAATTTCAATCATTGAAGGAAGTCTCCTTCCAATTAATATAATCTGTTGTAATGTCGAGCTTATATGAAAATGTTGCTCTTTGTCATGCAGGATGCTGATTCCAGCATATGACTTGCTTTTCGGAAAGCTTGCTCTACGATGCCTTTTCGAGGATTACTTCGAGGAAGTGAGGAATTTCAGCACAAGGATTATGCTAAAGCCCTTGGAAGATCCTCACGTGGACATGATTGCAACAGTATCCTAAGAAATGTTAGTTGCATTTTTCAGGATTTATTAACTATCCTAATTCCATTAATTGTGTATGTTGCTTTTGTGTAAGGGTGGTGATCGGTCTTTCCTGCTATGACCCATGTTTTGTCATGGACATGCTCAACACGTGCATGGCCATGGAGCCGAGCTCAAAGCAAGGCTTGAATCTGATCCATTAGACTTCTCGACTCAAAGGTTTGGCCGAGCTGAAGCAGGTTTGGCTCTTGGTAGGCCCTGTCCAGCATGTGTGACATGCACAAGTAACTCTAGATGTTTAGTGTAATAAGAACTCCAGATACTTAGTGTATTATAACTCTAGAATTTAGTTACGGAATTCTACAATGGCATATGGATAAAATGAGAAAATTTGAAGTAAAAATTTTGTAGAATATTTTTGAGATAAAAGAAAAAAGTTGAAAAAGTTAATTCAGTCTTCTAAGCTTCTGACTATTAAATAAGAAAATCTTCAAATCTTTTGGAGAGTCATTCACTCTTCGGATCCTATTGGTCTTTTGGAGAGTCTCATTTCTTCTAATTCTCATCAAAACTATATATGATATAAGATAAAAACGTTCATTTGAGTTCCTCTAATAATTCAGACTTTATTTAAGCTTATATCATATATTCTTCCTTTGTCAAGTTTTTAGCTTAGAATCTTGAAGCAGAAACAAAAGAGAACTATTTAGAAATATAAACTTTTTTATAAAATGCAGAAGAAACAATCTATTTGTAGCTAGTTTGTAATTTAAGTTGCTACCTTATGGACAGGCTGATAAAGAAAAAGGAATAAAGAAGCAGCACCTAGAGTTTGTTAAATTTAATTCTAAGTTCTTTACATCTGAACATTACGGAAACAGTTTGTACATCTCCTTCCAATTAATCTAAAGCTGGAATTAACTTCTCTGCACTAGGTAGTCCATGTGGCTCTGTTAATTTCTTAAGTAGGCCAGAGCAGATAATTTCATAAAACATAGGCAAGCTACAGTTTCTATTGAGGTTGATACCACATTAGTTATAATTCGAAATCAGGAGAAGATTGACGCAACACTGAGCTGAGACTTTCTACCATGGAGGAAGGTATGGTTGCTTTGGCTAAGCGTTACTCAGATAGCATGTGACCTGCTCCAGCAGTGCCGTCTCGAAAGACAATGTCTTAAAAACCGCCTAGGTGGTGGGAGCGTCTAGGAGAGCGTGGGTCGTTTACGTGGACTGCACCGTAGCACCGCTTAAGTATTAGTCGTGATTTCCTCCGCTAAAGTCTCTGGGTACTCCAACCACTTTGAACTCCTCTTCCTCCGCTAACTATAAACACATCCTCCTACTTTCAGAAAATCTTCTCCACCACCAATTAAACAAAGAAAGAAATTCACCTAGGCACTAGACGCCAATCTGGAGCCTTGCAGTGCCTAGATCTTTCTATAACATTAATATTTATTATCAATTACTATAACTAAAAATTAAAAAAGTGAAAAAGTCCGCCTAGAGCTTTCTGTAGCCTTGTCCAAAGAGTTGAAGGTATGTGTGTTTTTTTTTTATCAAGGAATCATTATATGATAAAGTGATGAATATTTTGCTAATTTCAAACTGATCACAATTGACTTATTGCTAATACATACCCACTGCTAACTGAATATTGGTAGTGTTATCAATGCGCGAGGCGCAATGCAGGGCGCAAAGTCCCTTTAAGCGCACATGCGCAAGGCACAATGTGATGTGTGTCCCTGAGTGAAGCGAGACGCACAGTGCACACATAATTTTTCAAGATGGATAATCAAGCGAGAAAGAACATTTTTTAATGAATTTTCACATATAATATGTCAATATCAATTATAGGTCTACTACCAAATTACAAAATAAAGTTTTAATTCATACTGCTAAAAAGGCCTAATGGGATTATTTTTCTTTTTTGATATAGCTGATCGGTAAAGGTCCAATTGAAATACTAAAGAACAAAAATATACGAGGCTACACATAGGACGTTTGCAAGGCTCAAAAAGGCACTGCCACATCATATGTGAAGCGCTATGCTGCCTCGCGTCGTAGGGCACATGAGGCGCATTGAGACGCGCGCCTTTCAAAACACTAAATACTAGTGTTTTTTGGTCATTGTATTTTCCATTTCCTCATCTTCTACTAACAAATCGATACTCTCTTTTAAGGTTTTTAAAAGGCCTCATATGTACTGTAACTTGTTATTAAAAATTCTTTATGTATTCTTCAATTTTTCCACGTTCTATCCCTTTTTTCCGCCACAATATTAACCTAATAGGATACTTATATTGCAGTTATTGTACGTTAAAGTGTAAAAGTCCAAGCTACGGTTAATGGAAATTGCACGTAGTTGTTGCTTACCAATCAAAGATTCTCGAAGATAAATCTCTCCTATCTGTTCTCTCAATTCTCTGGTTTTTATGGACCTACCCAAGTTCTCCGATATGTATGTCTCCGCCCTTCTTTGTTATGCAAATAGAGAAAGCTTATTCCTTTCATGCTAATCGAAAATTTCCTGTTGGTTCCATATGATCAGCATTTATGATGCTCCTTCTTCCTCTGGACTTCAACTTGAACAATTCTACAGTACATTATACCCCCTGCCATCTTTCAATCCTATCCAAGCTGAAGATAGTTTAAAGTATCTGAAAGTATTACGTGATGCATATAGCTTTTCTAGTTGTCTATTTTCTAGACTACTGCCTATTTATAGAGCTCCTTTTGTTATGGGTTAATAAGTTTTACATCTAAATGCGTATTGTTATTGAATAAATAACTCCAGAGATATCAGATTCTTGTGTGTTCCAGTTACTGTATGTAGAAAATATCTTTTTTCTTTGTAGGAAGTGCAAAATTGTGTTCCTTAACCTATCCAGGTATCTGGACCCCTTGAGCAGAAATCTGACAAACATGTGGAAGGAAATGCATTATTTCGCTGGCAGAGGTTTTACTTTATCCTTTTCATTTTCTAGATACTTCCTTCTAGTTAATAGACTTTTTCTGTAGTAAATAAAAATTTGTGTAGTTCTCATTATTGCTTTAATTTATGACAGGGACCTGGATGATCCACATACATTTTTGGACTTCTTTGTATCTACTTCTAAACCGTAAGAATCATGTTCTTGGGACTCATTTGCTTCACATTTTATTTGACTAAAGATTTTTTTGCCCTTTCACTTGATGCGTGCTAATTCTTTACTATCATCGTGTTTTGTTCTTAGCAATCTACGTTTAAGATCATGTGCATACTATCCTGAATATGGGTTTGGAGCTTTTGGTATATTTCCACTGCTGGTTCCTAATAGGTATGTTCTTTTCCCATTGCAGTTAAATCTTACAGAGACATTACCTTCTAAAAAAAATCAGTTCTATCAAGAACAAATCAACATACTTGATAAGTTTTATTCAATTTTATTCTAGATGAAAATATTACCAAAATGGGAAATAAGTATCTGCAGTAACATATTAATTCTGTCTGCATGTTAAAGAGAATCAGTTGTAGTTTTTGGTGTGGTTGTGAAGCAAAATGCAAATGTTGCTTGTTTATTGTTTTGTTTCACGTGTGTTTAGGGTATGAATATAATAGACAGATACTTCCGTGATCCTTTCGTGCAGATTATTAGACTGGCTGATATCAGTTATTTTTCCTTTGACCATAATGAATTATATCCTGTTTGGAATTATCATAAAGGAATCCATTTTATTCTACAGTTATATAGACCCATGGAGCAGTACATTTAAGTTAACATATGGCTCATATTTGTTTATCTGCTTTTCTGGTCACTTGAGGTAATACTGCACCTTTTTATATTGACCTATGAGCTTTTGTGTCCAGGAGACGAGAAAAAGTAATCCTCCTTTCTATTGTAGAGAACTCCATGGTCTTGAATATTGTTGTTGCTTTCAATATGTGAGAGCAAATGACTTGAAATCTCATCTACCCTGGCTTTTTAGTTGGATGGTAAAATCTTTTTGCATTACTAAGTGCAAAATTGTTTAAATTAGGAGCAACAATATTTGATGCGGAAAAATAGTGTTCACTTTTAAGATGATAGTATGAAGTTATGCAAATGCGAAGCATAGATTTGAGTTGCTGATAGGAAATAGCACTGCCCTTGGTCTTTTTAGTAAGTTTGAAAATAGAACTCAAAGCCATTCCTGGTATTGGCTTGTAAGATTGGTTTTTCCAATTTCCATACAAATGCTGATTATAGAGCTTTTTTCTGCCTAAAAAAGGTATGCTGTCCATGGTAAGATTTCTATACGCATTTAAAAAATTAAATAATTATTTCAAATAAATGAAGAAAGTAAAGGTTCAAGGTTCTGACTTGATTTGAAAGAATTCTTCTTCATGTCCAAACTGTTACTGCTAAGTTTAAGGGCTATATTCATTTATTAAACCTCATTTCGCATGTAGAAGCAAAGATTTGTCTGATTTAAATTCCTGTTACAATTTATGGCTTTATGCTTTCAGCATGCAAAGTTTAATCAGTCCATCCTAAAGGCAATCTATTTTTACTCTGCAATTTTCTACATCCTATTGTTAATTGCTAAGCTTGGGTAAGTTGCTTGGGGCCAAGATTGTAAATAAAGCTGAGAGATATTGAAAGAATTTCACATTTTAATTTAATTGGAAATCTCTCTCAAAGTTCATAAATATCAATATAAGCACCTCCTCAGTTAATATTTGATCTTTAAGTTCCTTGAACTGTCACAATAATCATGTTTCAGGTAATCCAGTCTTCCTCATGTACCACATAACCATAAGAGTAGTTCTTTTAAAGAATGGATATAAAAGCAGCAGCAAGTTTACTCATTTTCTTCCAAACATAGTAACATTTTGCGGGTCCTGTGTATCATTGAACGAGATTCTTTGTTACTGGCCAATTATGCCCTTAGAGGTTTAGAGCTGCCCTCTTATTCTTGTCTACTACGTTACAATGTTACTGTTCCCTTATTCACAACCTGCAGCCCTCTTTTAGATAAAGTGATTGGACCCTCCGGGCTCTAGTTCAATTATTTTATCTCAAGGCAGAAGATTCTGTGTACGTGGTCTCCTGATGTGGCTGCAGGATGCGAGATAGACCGAGGCAAAAATTCTGAGCAAAGGATATTTTTCCTCATGTATTCTGATATATTACACAGATCGTGATAGTTGATGGAGCCTTTTGGATTTTCTTGTGTAGATTACAGGCTACAGTAACACAAACTGAGGGAACAGTACCATCGACATTCAGGAATGCAGATTTTTTTATTTTTTATTTTTTATTTTTTTGCATCAGGAGAGTGGCATGAGTTCTCTACTAGTACAACAGTATTTCCAATTTGTGACTATAATAGATTTGGCATTAGAATTTCTCATGTTTAGGTGTTCGGTGCATGAGGCTAGCTTTGTAACTTGTCACAGTGCAACATGTACTTTTACATGCTAATACCTAAGAAAGGTGCGTAGTTTTAGTTAAGATGCTTGCCAACCAGTAAAGGAGATTATTTCATTCGAGGAATACTCATCCTGTTTTGGAAGGATTTTACGACTATATACATGCACTGGATGTTCCTTCTGTTGTCTGCTTTCGATTGTATCATGGAATTTTCTGATGTAGATTTCACTATCATCAATTTATGAGGGTGATAATACCCACGGTTTGAGTCTACTATTTATCATCTAAGTCAAAGGATAGAGCGAGATGGCAGGAATTAGTTGTGTGTTAACATATCTCTTGGCTGAGAGGTTGAAGTACTTTTTCATCCTGTCGTATTGGATTTATTCATATCCTGTTTGGCGTGCATCAGGATGATGAATCAATATATTGTCTCATTTTTCATATTTACGAAGCCAAGCTTTTCAGTCTTAAAGTTAAATTGTTTCTTGCTTCCTTATTAGTTGTTATTTGCTTCTCCTGTTAACAAGCGAACGAGGATATCATTTTCATGGTCCCCACTCCCCAGTGATTGGTTGTTTTATTTAAACAGTACATTTGCACCTCTTCTTCTATTATTTTTTCTTTTCATATACAAGGGCTGAGGGGCTCAGTTTATTGCTAGGTTTTAATCTTTATTTGTCAGTTTGGTTCACTATTTAGATCATATCTCTTGGTGCATCGATTATCGAATAAAGTCAATCTGATTTCAGAGTTTCCATTATTTGTTTTCCAATGTAATAGTGCCAAATCAACTTTTGGTACTTTAGACCTAATATCTCCTCCTTTGCTAAATATTATTAGCGAATATCGATATGCATGGTCATTATTAGCCGATGTGATGGTATTGGTCAGTTACAACTGGATCAAAACTAGCATGTTAAGCATTCTATACAACATGGTTGATATATATGGGTATTATTGACTGATACTTCATTTTCACATTTAATGCACTCCAAAGGTGCCTTGATTTCTTTAGATTTATATTCCACTGTTTACCTTAGTTCTATGTTACCCCGACACGGGATTTTTGGTCCCGTACCCGTGTCGGGTACGTTTTGGGTACGGATCCGCACCCAAACGGCAGGGACACGGCATCGGGTCAATTGCAACTTTAAAGGAATTCGACGAATCAAATTCACGAACCTTGGGAGCCCAAAGGCGATCGGAGGAGGCGATCTCATGCCACCCGCGAGAAATAACCAGCAATCGTGCCACGTTGCGTGCGTCCAAAAACTCAACTATCCTCGTCACAAGATCCGATCCAAGAACCTCCAGGGGATCCTGATTGGATTCGATCATCATCGGCTCTTCCCCGCTCTCCCTCCCCTCTTCCGCTTCTTCTTCCTCGGCTCCGACTCGTCTCCTACTTCTCCTCTCTCTCTCTCTCTCTCTCTCTCTTCTGGTTCTTCTGCTCGCTATTTTCGCCATTGGAGGGGAGCTCGAAGAGAGAGGAGGCGTAAATGAAGGGGGGTTGGGAATTAAAAGTGATAGAGTTGGGTTTGGAAAATGGGACTCGGGAAGGAACTAATTACCGGGCTGCCATCAAAAATATCTAGTTGGCGTGTCCTGCTTCATGGGCCTGCGATAAAAAATGGGCCTGTATCTATCTATTAGGCTTGATGTGTCAGGTATCTCTATATAAAAGTGAAGAGCTTTTTACATATGCATCCCTAAAACCTGTATATTTACATCGACCCTTGAATATTTGCATAAACTTAATATGAACTTTTAAGAACTCGATGAAACTTTTCTCCCTTAGCAAATTCCACTAATAGAGTTTACTGGGGAAAGGGTTTGTATTTTTACAAATTTGCCGTGTCCCCGTACCCTACTTTTTACAAATTTGCCGTGTCCCGTACCGGTACCCGTACCCGTACCGGTACCCGTACCCGTACCTAGGCAACATAGCCTTAGTTTCTTGCTAGTTATGTATCATGTTTCCCGGGGAAAAATATTGATTAGGATGTTCTGTGGCATGAAAGTTATATGAGGGAAAAAGGAAGACGGGGGAATAAAGGGAATATATACCAAACTTTTCTTTCATTTCCTTATGTTCAAGCATAAATAATGAAAATACTTCAGTAACTTGTATTGTTTCTCTATGTTTATTCTCTTTGGCATCATCTGCAGGAAACAAACGTAGTAGACAATTCTTAATTTCCTTTTACCTCACTGGCATTTGGACCAAACAAGTTGTAGTTCCTTTTCAAGTGAATGTTCTTCCGAGTTCCAACTATGCTTTGTAGAAAAATATCTTGGTCTCGACCTCTATTGTTCAATTAAAATGTTGGATATGATTTATGTCTTATGATGAGCCTGATTATGGCTGCAGGGTACGTCCTGAAGATTATGGTTCTGTGGGATTAAGATATGGATCAGAAAATCTATCCATTGGGACTACATTTATGCCATTTCCTTGTGAGTAACGGTTATATGCTTACCTATTTTCCTCTGTGCACAACCAAAATCAAGTCATTTTCCAGTTCTATTTATAATGAAAATTTTATAAATGGTTCATCTAAGATATAAATTTCAAACCCGACCACCATGTGTAATTCTTGAGTTTATTTCTTTTTGAAAATAAATCGACTTTTAATATATTTCCTTTAGAACTTGCATCAGGTTTGAATTCTACAGTGGGTAAAGTTGATGATTTTTTTACTTCTCTTTTGTATTATCTCTAGAACTTGCAAGATCTAATTTATACGCCAAAGATTATTTTACTTTTCTTTTATATTTTGTCTGGTATCCCTTTCTTACTGAAACAGATCAGGACTCATCATTTGGAATGAAAATAGCAATGCAACTAAGTTTTGGATTAGCATGTCTTAACTTATAATAGAACTGTCAAAAGTCTATTTAGTTTTGGCTGGCACCTCAGACGTTCATTTGTTCAATAAGTCAATAAGTTTCATGATATGGGCACGAATTTGAAATTCTAGCTATGGAAGTAGACATAATTAGAGAAGGGTGCATTGGGTGATGGGAGTTAAGAATATTTTCATGAAGTTACATAAGAGCACAGATAAGGAAAAAGAAAAGGATCTAATCTATGATATTGGCAAACAGAGCATGACATATGTTATAAGTTTCACAAAACTGCTGTGAGCTTCTTTTTTTTTTTTTGGGGGGGGGGGGGGGGGGGCCTCAAAACCAAAATAAAATTTCTTATAAAAGAAAACTACCATGAACTTATTCGAATCTGCAGAAAAATATCATGAGCTATTGGAAATTGTTGCTAAAGGTGTTAACTGCTTGGATAAAAGGTGTTTACTACCCTTGAAAATAGGACAGGAGAAAGAGGTTAATAACTTAAAGTAGATATATATATAAAGTACATAATTGAAAAATTGTCGGAACACATGTGACAACTTATCCTAACTTGGTATTTTGGTAATAACAAAAAGGTTCATGGTACTTTTCTCTAATGGGGAAAAAACAAATCTGTGATAATTTTGTGCAAAACCCCTAAGGTTCATGGTAGTTTTGTGAAATTTAGCGTCGTTAAATTTTCTTGGACGCAACACTTCTCTCCTTTTGCTATATCAACATATCATAACACATTGGATTAAGTGCTGAGTGAGACAAAACATGGACTAGCAGGGTAGTGATAAAATCATTCAGATAGGGAAGAATATCATTTTAAGGTGTATACTCTAAAAAAAAATTACTAGAGGCAATTTCAGGTTCAACATAGTCATCGCCATATATGTGGATAAAATTTCTTACGAGCTTAAGATACAACCCATATTACAGATTGTCTGTGTGATATTTTTCTTTCTATATTTGAAATTGAAGATTCTTCTGGTGTGCTCAAAAACTTTTATTGTTGAATGTTAACAGTGAGCTAAAGCGCTTTTTTATTTACTGACATATACATATATATATATATATATATATTATATATATAATATAATATATATATTATATATATAATATATATATATATATAATATATATATATATATATATATATATGAACTATGAAGTTGTATCATTTGTAACTGTTAATCGTCTTGAGTCAACCTATGTTACCCCGGACACTTCAATCTAGTCCCTACCCGTGTGCGGTACGTGTTGCGGTGCGGATCCGCACCCAAACGGCGGTGTTGGTACAGCAAATTTCACTCGCGAGCCGAAGAAAAAAAAGCCGCACCTGAAAATTTGAAAGAAAGGCCGAATCGGGCGCTATTTGAGCCCAATAAACTCAAGCCCACTTGAAATCAAAGCCGAACGAAGCGATTTCAGCGCCCGATTCAGCGATTCTGAAGCGATTCTGCCCGACGACGAAATCAAAGCGAACGAAGCAATTTCAGCGCCCGATTTCAAGCGCCTCGACGAAAGCCAACGACGAAATCAAAGCCTTGACGAAGCAATTTCAGCCGCCTCGACACGAATCCTCTCCTCGACGACGAGCTTTGAGCGAGGAGTGAACGACCAGCTTCGATTTGAACAGTGAAAACCCTAGCCCGAAACAAATTCTTCGACAGCGACGAGCTTCGACGGAGGACTGAAGCTTGGACGAGCTCCGACAGAGGATTGAGGCTTGGACGAGCTTCGAGGGTCTTGTGAGGGGCCATCGATGGAGGACTGGCTTTGGGTTCGCGAGGAGAAATGGGAAGAGGCGACGAAGATGAAAACCCTAGGGGGAAGTTACGGTTTTATATGGGGGAGGGGTTTGGGTTTGGATTCGGGTTTGGGTTTTTTTCTTCACCTGTTTTTTATATGGAGTGGGGTTTGGGTTTGGGTTTTATATAGGGGGAGGGGTTTGGGTTTGGGTTTTATGTGGGGAGGGGTTTGGGTTTGGGTTTATATAAGTAATAATATTAGTTCTAAATTTTTAAATAAAATAAAAATAGCTTTCTATTTCTTAGAATTGTTAAATAAAATAAAAATAGATTGTCATATTTTAGGGTATATTTGCAAATGTAATAGGTATTTAATTCAACACTGATCTAAAGTGAATTATTTTATATATATATACAGCCGTGTCCCCGTACCCTATTTTTTACAAATTTGTCGTGTCCCGTACCGGTACCCGTACCGGTACCCGTACCCGTACCTAGGTAACATAGAGTCACACACTGTTGAAAGTTATAACCTAATTATAGCATGCCTCTCTTGCATATTTGCATGTTTTTTTTGGCTGTTAGTTTGACTAACCTTTTTATCCCACTTCAGCTTATTATTTTTCACATTGAGTTACTTTTTAGTTAATTAATTATGTTGTTTTGCAGTGTCTAGCCAGACCCCAGTTTCTGCATGGCTAGTAGGAAGGCTTGGAAGACTAAGTGCAGGAGTACAATACACACCACCTAGTGAGTTGAACTAGATTATTTATTTAAAGCGCTTTATACATTAGAAAGTTTTCGTCGTATGCATGACAGAACATATTTTTAAGTTGTCTGGTTTGTAATGGTTGTGGTAAACTTACTTTTTGCAGTGCAAAACTTCAGCAAAAATATGAGGTATCAGGTGTGTTAAATAACTAGTAGCATATAATTATAGAGTAAGATCTTAGAAAACCATAAATTGAGGGGAAAATTTTACAAGAGTGCTGCATCATGGTGGCAACAATTAAGGTACAACATGTCTAGCAAACATGTTGATAAAATGTGAATGTTGATATAGACTAGAGGCAGTGTGCTAAAACATTGAAAAAGAAATGCATCTACATGAAGTTAAAAGGTAGCTCATCCGATAAAAATGAGGAACTCGGCATGGGAAACATATACGAATAAGTGGTCCTACCCTAGGTTATTAGGAGGGAGGATTGTATCATATTTATGGGAGCATCTCGGATTAGGGGTAGCATATGAACACCTACTGAGGCAGTTGAAAAAAAGATATGATTGTTGATACTGAAATTCCAGATAAAGGCTTGTTGCCAAGGGGGTGGGCTGACCCCTGATGGTTTAAGGATCACTTTAGTTTCAAATATGGAGTTAGGGGTATATTAGAACATTCTTCAATTCTATTTAACATTTGTGTATAATTCAGGTGCTATTTAACATTGATGAGCTCATTAGATAACCACTGATGGATATTCTTAGCCTTCTAGAACTTCCTACTTATGTCAACGTGCCTTTCCAGTTATTGGTATTGCTTTGCTACAGGTGTTAAATAATGCAGTTAGGTTATCTTGTTTTCTTTTATTTAGTCCCACATCGCTTAGGATTCTAGAACTTCTCTCCTTGCTATTGTATATAAACACTTTAATGCAATGAATAATATTGTCTCTTTCCTTCCCAATAGCTCTATTCTTATGATAGTATCAGAGCATTGATATTAGCTCTAGAGAGACATCTTTTTTCTTCCTTAATCTCGAGCCGCCAAGTGGGTTTCGCTACAAACTTCATGCTAACCCTTAACGGACTCGACACTAGTTTCGACCTCAATGCACTGCCACCAATGCTCACAACCTCTACTCATGGCACCCCCAACATCCACTGCTAACATCACTAGAAGATTACCCACCATCCACCACTGCCAGCACCACGAGATCCAAACAAGATTCTGCTATCGACGCCATTGTCATTCGAAGCACTACAACTTGCTATCATGGCAGAACCCTAACGCTGCTTACTCTTGCAAGCACACTGCTGCTATCGCGTTGTTCTTGATATACTACCACCTCGCACCCTAAGTCGCTTCCAAACGCATGCTCGCCCACCCAACATTGCCAAACCAATCTACACCTAACGACCGCTTCCAAACCAATCTACACCTAACGACCGCTTGTGTCATGGCACAGCCTTAACTCTGCTGCTAATCATCACTATCACAACCTTCCCTGTCGGACCTTGACCTCGATTGCTGACCCTCATCGTGATCGAGAAACCCTAAACACCGCTCAACCTCATCACTATCTTAATCTGCTCCGCTCGCACCTCTTGGCGACAACGGCAACTGATCGCCAAGCCTCATTGGTGCTTCGATCTGCTTCGCTTGAAACCCACTTGGATATCCTTTTCATTTACCAATAACAATGCCCTTCAAGTGTTCGGACTGAATGGCTCAAAGTCGCCCCCAACCACTGCATCACCTGTCTCTGGTAACCACCACAACTATGATCTTGCTTCTGCTTGATGCTTCATCGCTGCTCACGATAACCTCGCCTCTTGAAACCCTAGCTAGCAGCTCGCACATACTCTAAATGAGGTCGTATTTACATCGCCCTACCAGGCGTTCGATGATATATCGCATAGCAGCCCTCGCTATTCTGTTCCACAACTACTCTCGCTAGGCAGATCATTACACACCAACCCCTGTCCCTCGCGCTGCAACATCCTGCCCTTGCGCAGCCACCAACATCCATCTCACCACTACCACAAGCAGCCCTCACTGCTGGTAGCGCTCACCCTTGCCACAAACTCTAAGCATTCAATCCCCTACATAACTAGTCCACCCACCTCAGCCTTCCTGTTATGCGCACCACCCAGAACTTCACATGCACACTAACTGTTTGACTTAATGTCTCAACTGCAGCGACCATGACAGTGACACCGTTAGACCCTCTCCAGCTGTAGCGCCCACAACAGTGACATCCCCGGAACCTATCCATCTGTAGCGCATCCAATAGCAACACCGCCAGACCATCTCCATGACCAATGCACATGGTAGCGACACCACCATATCCTCTCCATCTGTAGCCCCCATAGTAGCGATACCGCCAGATAAGACTACAGAACTTTATCACCTCAGTCCAAGATCTCATCGGACAGTACCACGATCTTATCGCCTACAATTCTAACAATTGATGTGCTTCAATCTAACCACCTCTCGTTGAAACCATCACAAAATTTGCTCATCTTATCCCACCTCTCAATTCTCTACCCACCGCGAGTTTGACGGGGGTGTTAAATAATATAGTTAGGCTCTCTTATTTCCTTTATTTTGGTCCTACATTACTTGGGATTCTAGAACTTTTCTCCTTACTATTGTGTATAGACATCTTATTGCAATAAATAATAGTCTCTTTTCTTCTATTCTTATCAGCCGAAACCTATCACAGTTTTTTTGCAGTTTCATGTTGGAATTATGTATTTGGATTTTCCTTCTTAGTGATCATTTTCTTTTCCTAATTCCTATATCATATATCAAAAGAAAAGTAAGACTATATTCAAGACCATAAGCTAGAGCCCTTGGCATGCAATAAATGTCAATGGTCATATGCCATATATTCAGAATCATGGTAATGAGCATAGAACAACCACCACCACCACCACCATTGAAGCACACATGTTTTAAGATGTCTTCAGTTATTCAAAATTTAATTATTTGAGAACATTAGGTGACTATTAGTAAAACTATCAATCCTTTTCTAGAAGGATAAGGTCCTTATGAAATTAAGAGGAAAAAACACTTTTAGTTTCTTCACATGCATGCTAGCACTGAATCTGGCAATCCTCACAAAGCTGGGTGCAATTTTTAGTACGTGACATCTGCTTTGTTTCTGTAAACACTAAATCTCAGGCGATGTTACTTCAACCATAATTTGATGCTTTTTTATTGATATTCTTATTCTATCATAATTTAGTTATTTGTATCAAAAACACATCTTATACTTCAGTGGACTAAAGCACTGGGCATGAAAACTGGTCATCAACTTGTAGCATCAACTCTACCTTTTTTTCTGAATTTATCAGATGATATCAAATATCCAGTGAGCTTGAAGGACTTAAAAAACTGGAGCTGTGCAATTGGATATGGGTTAGGTTCAAGCAGCCCCTTGAGCCCATCTTTCAATTTTGCCATTGAGCTTGTTAGAAGTTCACAGGTTTGTTTAATATCCTATGCATCATATAGTTATTTTGGTCCAAAATAAATACTTAGCGTTTTGCTTCAAGACAATATGGACGCAATCGTATTACTCATTCTTATAATTCAAAAATAATTACTGATTTCTTATTATGTAAATATGCATGAAAATGACTAATAAGAAATGTGTATATCATGTGCGGGCGCTTGTCCACTTAACCTATATGCATGGCAATGACTAATTAAAATTTTGGAGAAAGTTTGTGATACTTATTTGTGCTTTAGAAACTTCATTGTAGTTAAGAAAAAACCGAGGAAAGTTCATGGCAGTTTTACGTTGCTTAACCAAATAGAAATTACCAAACTTTATGTGGAAGTATATTCATCTTATTCGTAAAATTTTAGAAATCTATAGGCTGTTGAATGAATAAAAATCATAAAATCCCTGTAACATTTATGTTTCTTTTATTAAGTTGAAAAACTGCTCGTTTTTTTGAACTAGATACCCACACTACCCCTTAAAATCATACTTATAAATGAGGTATGAGCTAAAACAAACCCAATTAGAGTCGAAGGATGGTATCATGTGTGTTTTAAAGTAAATCATGTAATAGATAGTTAAGTACACTTCCAAGAAAATGTATGTATATATTCAAGAGGTGTCTAATGAGTGTCGGACATGGACACGGATATGAAAAGTGTTAGACAAGGATACAGGAGCCCATATGAAGTGTTAGGGTAGCCTAGAAAAGAACTAATTGAGGGTGGAATTGTTGTAGTTTGCAACTCAAGAAAAACATACATCTAAGGTTATTTCTCTAGGTTAAATCTATTTACAAACCAACCTGCTAATAAAGAATAGATGATGCTTCTGATAAAAAAGGGAAAAAACAGTAGTACAACAATAGGAAGAATAAGACGAAGATTAAGTTTATTTTCATGTCTAGATCAGGCACTACATATCAAAATTATCACATAATTCTAACCTCCATCCAAAAAGTAATATTTTTAAATAATGTATATTTATATATGCCCAAAGTACCTACATTGAAATATAAGTAAGATTCTTAATCCATACTAAACTGGAATTTTAAAATAAAGTATCTATAGGCAAATACTAGTCCTAAATAAACAAGATTTTTAAAATTAATCTAAGATCTCCGAACATATCCTAATCCTTACTAAACAAGAATTTGAAAACATACTAAAATTCTCTATGTTCCAATCTATAATTAAAGTAAGATTTTAAAAGTAACTAAGTTTTTTTTACGAATTCTTCAAATCCAAATTAGTCTTGGATTTTTCTCGATTACACTTTGATAGTTTATTTTTTTTTATTTCAAACTTTCTCACTTGCATGATGAACTCAAAAAAGTCATTCTACATTCATTTTTTTAGGGAAAAACTTGACAAAGTTTTAAAATGGAAAAGAATGTGTCTTGGAGACTGACAATGATGAATTAAGATTGCAAAAATAGTGTGAATGATGTTGCGATGTAACATGGAACTTGATTTGTTATTGGCGGCAGTTCTAGAGTAATAGCAAAGTTCATATGAACAATTTTGGAACGTTCAGAAGATTTTCTTCAATCATCGGTATGGATCTGGCTGGAATCATAGAAGTTGTCACCCACTTGCACAAGCTCGTTATGAAAATTGGTTGCTATGAGATTATCAAATTATTCTAGTTTTGCAGACAATAGTTACTTTTATAAATAACCTTTTTTGTATTATATACCTCTCGCTGTCAATATATCATAGGAAGTGTCATACTCATTCTGATCTAAGGTTCCTGAGATTGGTTTATTTTGCTAATTATTCTATCAATAATAACAAATTTCTTCTTCAGTAGTTTGTGTGCAGTAAGAAGAAAATCATGACTATGCTCTTGCTTTTTCTTAAAGAGGAGAACAATATCTTGTAGAAATTCTTCACTCTTCATGATCACAAATATGATAATAGTTTCATCAATGAGAGATGACCACTATAATGATTTCATATATTTTTCAGAAAATGATGAAACATGTCCATAGTCGATTCGTTATAATCAAGATCGATCATAAAAACATGAAATTGTATTCTTGGAATGGTTTCAAGTATTGAAACCGATTTATTTGACATGTTATCCATTTTTTTTGAAGGTTCTAATGATGGCCTCAAAAAGTCTTCTTTGGTATATCATTATCATCAATCCAAAGAACTGTGTTGTCATGCTTATGATTTCACTAAGACAAGACTATAGCATTTACACATTTATATTTACACATTTATATCATGAGGCATCAGAGGATTGTCTTCAATCAAAAAATAAAGTGGAAATTAATTGGAAAGTATATATTATTGACTTAGATCATCATTGTTCAGTTTGCAATTAGAGGCTACAAGTATAATCAAGAAGGCATTAAAACTCAAATAAATAAGAGGTGGCAGTTTCTCAATGCCTGTGAAGGTTGGAAATTATTTCATCATTTGCAAGTCTGTTAGAAATGACGTGTAATGTAAAACTTGCTTATATATGAACTATGATAGTGATGTAGATGTCATAATGTTGGTTATTTCTGGCATTAAGACCAATTAATGAAGAAGTAATAATGGTGCAACAACAGGGAAGAAAACTAAGGTTTAGTTTGTTTGGATCAAGTACTTCACACAAAATATTCACTGAATTATCAAATCCAATAATTAATTAAAATGTTAGTCATGATGTACCATTACAGGCATAAAGGATCAAAGTTGAATTAAAAGTAAGATCCTAATCCTAACTAAAACTACTAATTTAACTGAAAATTTTCTAACTAAACTAAAATTCTAAAACAAACTAACATGCTCTAAACAAATCTAATTCCGACTAAAGTCTGATGTTAACTAAAATCTCTAAAAAAGAAAATCTGTCCTAATAAAACTAGGACTTTTTTACCCTAATCATACTGGGGATTTCTTCCATTCTATCTAGAGTAGGCTTTCTTCCATTTAGATGATAATTTGACTAGCTTGTTTCATCTCCAACTCTCCTACTGGCATCGACGAATATAAGGAGAGCTTTATTTATATCTATGCTGTAACAGTAACACACGTGTGTGTGCGCGCACACAGACACACACACATACATCTCTATGCCTGTGTGTACAAACATATCAATATTCAATATTCAAAATAATGATAATGCATAATGTAACACTCTACCTCCTATTAAGGGTTAACCGAAAAATGCAAATAACATGATGCTTAACTTAGGTTATTTTGTTTATTAATTATTTATATAATTTATAAATACAAACTATTCATAATAACTTTAATAATTAGAATCATCAAAATTTTCAAACATGTCACACTTAGGAACAAAACATTTTGTTACTGTTCAATATAAACAAATATAAAAGATGTTCATAATAGTTTTAAGAACTAGGAGCAAAATATCATAACACAAAAATACTTTGATCAAAATACTTTAATTTAATATAAGCTATATAGATTTACTAGGAAGTGTCACAATTGAATACACAAATCTACAATCATAAATTTATAGCTCGTTCATAATTATATTTTTTTATTAGTTATATTCATAATTTCACAATCACATAACGATGTCACCAAAAAGAGACATGAATGCTTAACAAACAATTCAAAAGTAATTACTTAACTACTTCAAGTCTTGAGAAAGATCTATTCCCAAGTCTTTAGAACTTATATTGAAATAACGTAAGTTAAATTGAAATAACGCATGTTTTATTGAAGTAACAAAAGTTAAAATAAAGCATATTTGATTGTAACCACGTAGAGTTAGGATGTGGTTGAGTTATTTTATAAGATTGTGTAACATTTAAGGCCTGTTTGGTTACATAATGCAAAATTTCTCAATTATGATACTACACACATCCTCTCTCTCTCTCTCTCTCTCTCTCTCTCTCTCTCTCTCTCTCCTTACACACCCTCTCTCTCTCTCTCTCTCTCTCTCTCTCTCTCTCTCTCTCTCTCCTGTTTGGTTACATAATGCAACATAACGAGTTACTCAACGGATTTCTCAATTATGATACTACACACATCCTCTGTCTCTCTCTCTCTCTCTCTCTCTCTCTCTCTCTGATACTTTTGGAATTAGAGTTATTCCATGTTATATATCCTTTGTACTGATATATTTATCAATTGTTATTGTATTTATGATCATATTTGTTTGCAGCTCATTGCATCATTCTACCAACATGTTGTGGTTCAAAGAAGGGTAAGCCATTTATGCTCTGTTAAATTACAGATTAGGTTTTTTTTCCTTTCGGTTTGAACATTGATATAGATTCCAAATTTGTCTAATATGTTTTAAAATTGTAAGTAATTCATCCAAACAAGCTATGCCTTGTATTTGCTAAATAATGAGTTAACACTCTAGCTCCACTTTATTGCTTATATATAGTCAGTATATTCATCGGTAAATATATATCAGCCGAGTATACATTGTTTCTAGGTGAGTACTGGGTGTCTACTTCCCAAAGAAGACTACATACCAATTTTCCTGGATACTGTGGACTATGGAGTATTATTCCACTTTGCTGTATTAAAAAGAATTGATTACTGTGGACTATGGGTTATTATCCCACTTTGCTATATTAAAAGAATTGATTTATAAGACTTTGTTTCTAATTTCTTTCATTATATGAATGCTAAATGACGATTACTGGAGAAAACTATCCCATCTAAGGGTTGCCCACAGAATATAATTAGATTTTGGATTTTTTTCCATCATTGTTTTGTTTTATTTTTTTTTTCTGAACAAAGGACGTGTCCAATCAATCATTATGTCAAACTAATTCATAAGCTCATGCCTATTCTATTAGTGATGTCATCTGCCTTCATCGTCTTCCTTTTTCAAATGAAATTCAGTGAGAGAGATAAATTACCTTTTACCTCTGATTTCATTCTTTGGCAAGTAAAGAATTTCTTTATTTGTAGAACTCTTAGAAGAAATTCCTTTTCGGTTGCTTGACCACCCCTAATGAGTAAACTTTAAACTCAAGAGTCAAAACTCATCCTCTTCCTTCTCATTTTGTCCTTCCTTTCACTTATTCAAGTGATGACAGGAAAACCAGAATGTATATAATCTGTGCTAGGTATGAAAGATCAGCAGCCAGATGGTGATTGGTATGGAAAGGAAGCTGCAGTGCCTGGCCCTTTATATACATATCCCAATGATGCTGTTGAGTAGACCATCTACTTCAAACTACTATCCAAACCACTAGCATCATGCTTGGATTTAGATTTCTGTATTAGCATCATGTGATGGTAGAAGAGGTAAAGAATTTTTTTCTAGTCAGAAAGAATTGATGGGCATTGTTGTTGCATTTTCGTAATTTTCCTGACGGTTTATTTTATCATCTCCCTTTACTGTTTCAAAGAATTGAGCCTGTTCCTTGGATATAGTAAAGCTTCCATCACATGAGGACTCCATTTTAGAGCTTTCTGAGCCTGCTCCTGAAGGCTTGCATCTTAGTACTGCGTTTTTGTACTCATTAGGACTCTCTCAATACTACACTATCAACATATTCATTTATTTCCTTACTGGTTTTTGTTAGATATCCTGTCCAGTTCAACTTTCTTATTGTCTAGTTCTATTTATGTTCCTGTCACATAATCAGAGAATAAGAAAATCAAGCCAATATGCGGTTATTATTTCTGAAGGAGATCTGAAACTGCCTCCATATTGGCAACCATTTTATACTTACCAATAACAGTTCAAGCAATCATTTATTCAATCACTTTTAGGAACTATTCTTGAAGTTGTATATGAGTAAAGCATTGCTGCATTGATGGTTGATTACCGGTCATATTGCTTCTTAATCAATAACCTCTTCCCCATTTGCACCATGATGTCATGAAACTTTTATATAAACACAGTTACAGAATTTTTATATATTATTAACTACCATAATATGCCAACGAGTCTATAAATATTTTGGTCATGTATGCAAGTTATGACTTATTATACACATGCTGAACTTAATTAAAGAAAGTAATTATCCTATGTTGGATTATACTTTTGCCAACCATATGTGCGTTGACAATAATGTTAATTGTGGATAGTTCACTATATTGACTGCATTTTTTTCACTTTTTTTCTCTTCACTTTAACCTCCCACATAGAAGATATTCTTCATGAAATTTTATTCATTTTCAACTATTTTTAGCTTAGTATCCATGAAATATAAGATATTGTGAACGAATGGATAACGTCGCCTCATTGTATTGTACAGGTGAATAATCCATTTGAAGAAAATCAAGTGGTTGGGATTAACAACTACATTGACTTTGGTTTTGAGTTGGCAACAAGGTATAATGCATGAACGCAAATTCTCATATTAATCCATTAAATTTTGTAACCTGGTTTTTCTTTTTTTATTATAAGGATTGATATCTTCATTTCAGATAGCTGCATCTTGGCAAGCGAACAAGAACTTCTTGGTGAAGGTGAGAATATCATTGTTGATTTTAAGGCTTGAGTGATTGATTATATTTTGGTTAGACCATTCATTTCTTCATGGCTGCAGGGGAAGGTAGGACCAGTTAGTTCCTCCATAGTTTTGGCTTTTAAATCTTGGTGGAAGCCTGCTTTTACATTTAGCCTTACAGGTATGCCACATTGGAGGATTTTTTTTCAATATGCGTATTCTTATTATAGCATTCCACAGACTACAATATCATCTAATCATACCAAGAAAACAGATGAACTATTTCAATAATGGCACTGATGTTCTAATAAGCTGTAAATACTGTTGTTTTTTTACACATGACTGTAGTTTTTTATTTTTATTTTTTATTTTTTACTTTTTTTTGACATGATATGGGTCTATTTTAAACAATTTATAGAAGCGAAGTAAAAAAATGCACCTCCGAGTTTAAAGCTCCATCCCGTCTAAGTGGGAGGGATAAAAAATGCGAAAGCTCTGCAGAAAACATGTCAAACCAGACCTCCAAGTTTGTTTGCAAAATCTACACTTTCATTTATGTAGTTAATAAAAGTATGCTCATGTAACACATAAAAATTCAGTGCATTGAGAAATATTCTGGAGCGTAAAAGATGATAATATTTTCCTTTTATATGGAAGTTGTGTTTGTCTTGGGGCTTGATATTAGCAAAAGCAAATGAGAATGCATATCCAAATGCACAATACTTGCTCTAATCGAAATACAGGTCCTCCCACTGCAATTAATTTTTACATGTACATTTTATATTTGATCAATGCCTTAGACTTCTGGGACATCATTGACCAAGAGTTTGCTTTATTGTGTCAGGCTTTCGCTACACTAAATGCAGGGGCTGAATTTGTAGTAGTGTGTTTAAGTAATTGCAGTTCTTTATTTTATGGTAATAAATTATTGCATTCTCACAAAAGAAGGGTACAGGTCTGGGTACTAGTTTAGATATATGTTTCTAGGAAAGTTTATTATCTGAATTAGAATCGCCCAATGAACAATGGTAGATAACATGACATCTTGTGAGCTTTATTTTATTTTATTTTATTTTATTTTATTTCCATATAGTTATAAAAGTTGCAAGGGTTCATATTTCATAATGAAAATATTCATTTATTTGCTTCGTTGCATGACAAGATTAAGTAGTTTGAATGTTTCACTGCCTGACTCTCTAGTGATGAGTGCTTTATTTCTAGTTTATGTTGTCCTTTGCTTAGCCATCACAGGTGCAAGTCATACTCGATTTCAAATCCTAACCAAAATGTAGGTCCAGGTTTATATAGGGTTAAGTTGGGCAAGCTCAAGGTTTGTCCAGTCACAAGTGGACTAGAGTTCTGTTCTTAATGAGGTGCATGTTGATATTCCACACAGGCAGACCCAAATAAGACCTAAAATGATAAATTATTAAACTCAATTTGGTTATACTGGATACTAGAACGTAACATTGATATCCATCTTATGTAATTTTTTTCTGCAGAGTGCTACTGGTTGAAGTTTTGCAATGAGATCTCTTATATGTACTTGACTGGAAGAGTTTAACAAATCTTCTAGAAAATCAAATGTGATCCCAGATCCACAATATTTGAAAAACTGGGGCCTATGATTATGGGAAGTTTAACAACCCATATATCCACATTAAATGTATTATCAGGTGCACAGACTGTTGTTTCTTAAAAAAATTCATGCCTGAAACTGAATGTCCAGCCAGAATCAAAATTTATAGAACTCTGCTATTAATCAAAAACATTTCCCCCCAATAGTTAATATTTGATTAGAGTGACATGTTATGGGAATCATCCAATGATCCAAATCAGGAGGGCTAAATGAACGCGAAGTTTAGACAATGAGCTAGATAACTAAGAAACAGTGGTTGCATACATCACTTGAAAATAGCAAAGCTCCTGACAAAGCAAATTTGATAACACGGTTGCATGTTAGTGATGCTTCTAGGAATAAGTGTCGACCTTAGTTTTTTTTAATTCTTTTTCTCTCAATAGTTTCATATTTCAATTATATTTCTTAATGATGTATATGTGAGAGGCATTGAAGTTCAAACAAACTTCGAATATATTTGTCAGCAAACCAAACCTACCGACACAATCTATCACATAAAGGAATAACTAATGATAAGCTGAGAAGATAATCAGTTCATGAGTAACATATATTTGTTCTTACAAGCAGTGTTTTCAATGCGCGAGGCGCAATACGGCGCGCAAAACATCTTTACACGCACATGCGCAAGGCGTAACGCTATGCGCGCGCCTGAGTGATGCGAGGCGCACACCACACACATAATATTTCAATATATGTAATCAAGACGCTATGCGCGCGCCTGAGTGATGCGAGGCGCACACCACACACATAATATTTCAATATATGTAATCAAGAGCGAAAGAACATGTTTTTAGAATTTACATGAAAAATATCATGATAAATAATATCTTGCTACATAATCACAATATATTGCCTTAATTTCTAATACTAACACCCAACATAGTAGCAAATTTCATAAATTTTCAAATCAAATGTTAAATCAAGACATATCCAAACTAAGGATTAGTAATGGTCCTCAATTGAAGATTATTAAAAAAAATTATTGGATTTATTTTTCTTTTTGGGATATGGAATATCAAGTATAAAGACTCGATTGAAATGTTAACAAACAAAACTATATGAAGAAATGTACTACATGCATCCTACACAAAGTACGGATGTACGCGAGGTGCAAAAGGCGCTGCTGCATCAGATGTGGGGCGCTTCGCCACCGTCCCGCATCGTAAGGCGCAATGAGGCGCGCGCCTTTGAAAACACTGCTTACAAGTACTCTTGATTATGGCCAACAAGGGTACAAGGAGTGCGATCGTCGCTTTCACTCACTGTGGTAGAGGGACATGTGTCCCTAAACACAAATTAATCCTAAAACTAACCTTAAACCCAACTCTAAACTTAACAATTCCCTATTCTAATTGAGTGACCGTCTAAGGCCAGTCGCGTTCGGCGACTGTCCTTAGATTTTTTCGCATAAGTATTGGTGTCTCTATGCAGTTAGGGGTGTTATCGGAGCGGATACGGTTCGGATATGACATTTACCATATCCATATCCGCTTTATATAAACGGATACGGATACAGATCATATTCGGTAAGAAAAAACATTAACCATATCCGCACTTATCGGAAACGGATACGGTTCGGATATTTGAGAATCGGATCGGATATGATCACGGATATAAACGGATATTTGACAAATGGATATGAATCAAATATGAATTAGTACACCTATGCATAAATTACAACCAAATAGGTAAATGTATGTGGTTGTATGCTTCTCCTTAATTCACATATAATTAGAATTACTCTATATAGTAATAGATAATTTCTAAAGATAGTTACAGAAATGTAATATAAAACTCTGAGAATAGTTTCTGAGAATAGATTGCAAACAGAAGACTCCTCTAAGAACATGCAGCAGACACACTACAACTAGCCCTATATCAATTGAAAATATAATGTAATTATGATTAAGCATCGCATAGACACATAACTATGAAATTTAAAACCATATAATTCAGCTGAAGAAAATTAAGAAATACAATAGGTGCTCTATACATGGTAGCGTGGAGACCGTCATAAGAATTGACCAACAGAGGCAATTTTAAACATTTACCATGATCGTTGAGAAATCTCAATGAACTTGTATAGAACCTATAGAAACAAAAGCAGAAACATTTACCATTGATTCCACCAAACAACTGCCAGAAATGGAAAATTTAAATGAAATGATATGAAGTAAGAAATTAGCAGTTAACCGTCTGTTTGAACCAAAATTATGTGGAAACGTAAACAAACATCTAGGAACAACACATGGATGTGGCGACCTCTTGTTATGAGCTCAGTTTCATGATAGTCCATCGTCATCCCATCTTGCTTTTTCTAAAAATAGGAGTTTTCATTAGCAATCAAATGCAAATGGAGTTCTCAGATGAAATAGACGTTTAAAATTTAGTTGAAACGCAGATAACTCTATTTGATAGCAAAGGTGCTTGACTCATCAGGTTTTTAATATCCAAACGTTCAACGTCACAAACTGCGTTTAATTTCAACAAAATTACCCTAAAATTTTAGATGTTCACCCTAAAAATTGAGAATGGCGAAGACGAGGCTCTGACGAGGCGACGACGGCGGCTGGACGCGGCTCTGACGGACGAACCAGACGGAACTGGCAAATGGGCGAACGGCAGGACCGCGGGCGGCGGGACAAGCGGTCGGCCGGCGAATGGCGAAGACAAGCCTCTGACGGAGGCGAAGATGACGGCTGGATCGCGGCTCTGAACGGGCGAACATCGGGCGCAGGACGCGGGCGCGGCGATCAGAAGGATTTTTTGTGGAGGCTGGAATATTGAGCGAAGGCGGAATGGGCTAGGGTTTTTAGATGTAGTTGGGTTTTGGGTTAGTGGTTACGGGTTTGTAATTGTAACTTTGAATAGGACCCGAATTATTATTACATTGCGGATATCCGTATCCGCAATTCTTATATCCGTATCCGAATCCGTATCTGAAAAAATCCGAAACCGGATCCGTATCCGAAACCGTATCCGCCCGGTTTTAAAATTTGCTTACCATATCCACATCCGTTCGGATACGGATGCGGATCGGTTCGGATATATCCGAACCGTTTGGCACCCTTATTCATGCATGCTGCAAGAACTCTTGATTATGGCCTCATTCTGGATCTTGCTTTCTTTCTCCATTTTGTATTTAACTTTATACCAATGTGTCCCAATGTTTAATGGCAGATTAAGTCTTATTTGCAAAATCTGAGTTAATATTTATGGTGAAAAACAGAAAGGGTCTTGTCTATCTTAAATAAATATAGAGTTTCTACTTTGGTTATTTTGGATTGGCGAGTCATTTCGTCTGCATTCACATTTGTTTGCAATTAGCTACTTGGTTTCCAGGAACTTCATCAATCCTCCAGCAGCCAAGTTGATTCTTAGAATAGCAGTTGTTCTTTTAAGTGTTTCAAACAAACAAATCAATTCCTTTTCTTTTCTGTTGTTCTTTTCTGGCTACTCAAAGGAACTCAACAAGTTGAGGGACCCAAAGATGATATCATTCTACTTGTATCTGCACGTGATAAAATATGTTGCACGTGATATAATATGTATGAGACCTGCAATCATGCATAAAGAATTTTTTTATTTTTTCCTTCTATCAAATAGAAAGATTATAGATGAGCTATTGTGTAAATATCTAATTGCACATTTAGAACAACACTGTATAGAAAAGTGCATTGGTAAGTGGAAATTGTCATCATCAAGACTAAAATGTGACAAAATTGTAATATTAACAAACTTTTAATCATGTTATTGTGAGTGGCAACATTGTTAGGCTATCCCAGAAACCAATGAACCCCAGAGTACTGCATTATACTTAGAGATGATTAACATTTCTACTTTTGGAGATGATTAACATTTCTACTTCTGAAGCCTACAACTTTAAGACTACTTGTTCAATGCTCATTTGGCCTTTGCATATGAAATGTAGCATCTCCCTTTGTGTTTTGTTTTAACTTTTTAATTCCAGCTGATGATTTGATTCATTTGTTCATTTTGGCAATTTGCAACAAATATTTGTTAATACTGGTTTTTGCTTGTTTATTTCTTTTTCTAGCTAGCAATGACCGCCTGCATGGGACGACAGCATATGGATTCGGACTTCGCGCTGAGAATCTCAGGGATGCGAGGTTTTTCTTTGACCATTTAGTTGCCACGTTCACACATCTTTAATCAAATTCTATCAATAAATGAAAATAGATGTTTATTGGATATGAAAAGCACTTTTAGTTTGTAATTATGTTCCATGCACAACTTGAAAGTGTAGGTAAAACCGAACATGATAATAATAATAGGCCAGCAATATTGTATGATTCAGAAGATTGGACAAGAGAGATGGTTCAATCAAATATGATGACTTCAACGTAGGTGAGTTCGTCTAGCAAGTAGCGCCTCAATATGTAAAGGTAGACATATACTAAGGACAAGTATCTGCGGGACTAGTTGTGTAATTGAAGATGTTAAGCATAATGTTACCTTGGTAAACATTAACACACAACAACTTAAAAGTATTTGGATAATGGTCCTTCATATGGGTTCATTGATCAAGTTTTCCCCCCTTTCCTTTTCTTCTTTGTTTTTTCTGTTTCTTTTTAACTCTTAGCCGGATCCTGTGCATTGTTTACCACTGAGCCTGGCCTGAATGGTTCTAGAAAGAAGTTTATAAAGCTTTCCCGTAGTTAGCCATAATTGAAGTAATTTACGAAGAATAGTTCACTTAGCCAACCTCAGATAGCTGCAGTAAGGTTATTGTTTGATGCAGGGTGAAGTTTAAAAATTCATAAATCAGACTCTTGTGTTTTATTCTGACAAGATCCAGATGCGTTCATATGACAAAAGGTTTATTCTGACACGCAAAAGTGATTTAATTACTGAACTTTTTTTATTCAAAGTGTATTATTATATTGATACAACTTCTGCTTGCTTCTTTTTTTTTCTCTTTGTTTAGAATTAATTTCTTTATTGCTTACCAAATATGCAGTTACGAAAGAGCAGATCCCAACTATGTGATGTTGACTCCAAATAGAGAGCATTTGGCTGAAGGTGTTCTTCGCAATTTTGGGAAGCGACCTGTGTTCCAATCCGAGATAAACTCTGGAAATTATGATCGCTTGCCGAGAGAATTGAAACCTATTGGAAAGATCTTTTAAATGTATGGTTTGCAGATCTTTTTGGGAATGCAGAGGGAATTAGCATGTGGGTTTAAGCTCCAAAGCATCCAAATCAAGGACGCTAGCAGATCAACGTCTGTCGTTAATCTGAAATTCTGAGGTAAAGTGGGCTATTTATTAGTAATGTCACACCATCTGCGTCAATGAGCAGAGCAATTTTGGTCTTGTTAACATTCAATGTAATTAATCATCTTCTAGGATAACTTTCAGTTCTCTTCATGATGATATGATAGCTATGTAATTGAACAATTTGAGAATTTATGTTTCATTAATATCTTGGTCGTTAGTTCACAATGAGAGTTAAGTTTCACTCTCATAAACCTGTGTGTTTCTCGGGGATTTATGAGGAATCAATGAAAGTCATCTGCTCCGATCTCCAGTACTTTGTGTTATTTGCGTTTTGTCACGTCCCGGGCCCACTGGTCTATTGGTGTGGTGCAAGCCGTGACTCAATCCACTATCAAAATCAACTAGCTGATGTTATGCTTGAGTTTTGGGCTTACCTCTTTATGCCGCACAATTTTATTGTAAATTCTCGATATTGGACTATAGTTGGGGTCTCACACGTTTAGTATGTAATATATTCAATCACTGGTTTTGTATTCAGATTGAGGTGTTGATAAAAGTGCTCTTTTGTGAGGCAGAAGGTCTCTCATCCTATATTGTTGTTGTTTCATCATTATGATCAAATTAACTTGTTATTTTCACAGAAATTGATGTAACATATGTAACTGTTTTTTTCTTTCTTTTTTTTCTTTTTTTAATGGTGTATACAAATATGAATCATGAACTCTTGATCAAGAACCATACCTGTTTTATGATCTTTTATAAGATACAGAGAGCAACCACACTGTTAGACGAGAAGCTCTCACATATTTTTTTTTTCAATGAAAATTTCCATAAATAAAATGTCCTAATTTCATTCTGGTAGCAAATATCATCATCAAGAAGTTGGATCTAATCTACATCAAAAACTAGACGCAATAAAAATTTGTTTTAATCATATAATTACCGAAGCATGGCTCTGATACCAAATATTCTTTTCATTGAGAGAGAAGGATAAGTTGAAATCCTAATCTACATTTGTTATCATGTCTTATCTTTGAGGTAAGACATATGATTTAATTAGCCCACAAATTTGTTATCTTAAGACAAGATTTAATAATCATAACTAGAAAGGGGCTTTTCAGATTAAAGACATTGCAGAAGAAAAGGGGATTTTAATCATCATCCATGGTGAAGAAGCAGCAATCATAGGGGACAACTTCTAAATCTCCCTATGCTATCTTTTCTTGTGTTGCTATTGCTATGACCTTTTATCTTGTTGATGTTTTGTTTTCTGGTGAAATTGAACTGGATTATAAGCATTAAAACACTATCTGTGTGGTTGTACTTCTATCTTAGCCATGAGCAATAAGGAATAGCTATATGTGACTGCCAAATTACACTTAGATAATGTGATGAAAGGCCTCTCCTCATCCATTTCTTTATGTTAGATTGGAAGGCACATATAAACTATTTTATTATATCTTAAAGCTAAGTTTTGATTATATTTTTATATATTTTTGAAGAGGGCTCCTCACCCTTATTTTCTGCACCAAAAAATAAAAAAACAAATAAAAAACACTATTACCTGTCGATTCTTAATCATGAAATTAGATAGTCATCTTAAAACAGTATGTTCGGGATATGGCAATAGAATGCTACATTGAAAGAGAAACAAAATAGAAGTCTTTCATTTTAAATCCTTTCACTCATGTACAGTCCTGATTGTCTAAATGTCTACACCATTTTTGGTCTTGAGTGCATGAATAAAGTTGTCATATCGAGGGTCTGAAGCTTTCCAAGAAGAGAGATGGATTCATAGAGAATCTGATGGACAGATTGGACACCGAATCTTGTCACAAATTTGGTTCAAGAAATATTCAATGTGTCTCGACTTGAAAAGTACATTACAAACATCTCTTAGCGAGGGGGGTAGAAGTCAATGTTTAGAAGGCAATGATCATGAAATTGGAACTTTTGCATTGTGATGGAAGAAAGTATGGGAACTTTTCAATGAGATTGTTGATACGACAATTCAGTATTCAGTAATCAAATTTCTTCCCATAGGAATCTTGTTATCGGCAATAACTACTCTCGTCCATTTCCATCATCGGTTGTACCACTTTGATGGCATACTTCTTGTTACATCTCCCTACTTTTTTTTCTTTTTTGAAAAAAAAAGGATGACATCTTTAGAGATCTCACCTATTGTAATACCTCAAAAATGGTTAGTTACATATAATAGAGTACATCCCTAACTATGTAGTGTATTCTGAAACTGTTAAAGTATCTTTTTACACATACAGACCATGAGAACCACCTCAGCTACAATTTCAAAAAAAAAAAAAATTTACAATCCACAACAAAAAGGTCAATAGGGCATCAAGCCCTGCTTCCAGCAACATCAACAACATGAACTAACACAAAACTTGGTTCTTCCTTATTGCTTACCGCATTGTCTAGCATCTGTATATGGCCTTCACCCTTCAGCATCAACTCTCCCTTGATTATAGCACCCTGACGAAAAAGAAGCAAAATAAGAAATAGCTTGTCGTATCTCGAGAGAATGCTTGTGTTTATGCTCAAAAAAATTTCTGTTTGTTCAATCCATATACACCAGATTGTAGCACACAAGAAATATTTAAAAGTTTTTTTAACATCTTTCCTTAGAGCTAGCTTCCTCCAATGCCAAAGCTCAATCATGAGGGTAAGTAGAGAAACAGAATTTATATCCCAATGATAACCACATTGCTTGAGCCATCCTACATTCAAGGAATAGATGCTTATGCGACTCATCAACCTGACCACACATCACACACAGAGAATCTACCTCCACTCCTTTACAAATGATTCTATCTTTAGTGTTTAATTTTTCTAGTAAAGCCAACCAGAGCAGCATCTAAACTTTCAGAGGTGTAGTTATTTTTTAAATATCAGAATATGAAGCTCTCAAAGCCTCTATTAACAAGGAAAAGATAGTATGATTTGGTAGAGAAAATTCCAAAAGCAAACCATCTCCAAATTGTTCTATCTTTATCATTTTGAAAAAAAAAATCTCTACAGCAATTGCGTCAATTTCAAATACTTGAACACCAAATCCCTTGGAAGTTGCCTCTTAAATTTTGGTTTCCATCTCCAATTCTGACCAACATACTCTCTCTAGGAATGAACAGTAGCAAAAGAATCTTGAGGTAGACGGAATAATTTAGGGAAATCAGAAGCCAAAGCACAACCTCAATTCCAGTTATCTAACCAAAAATATGTTTTTTACATTTTCTAACTTGACCTTCAGTATTAATCAAGAAACTGTCAACAAATTCAAGAATCTCTTTCCAGAAATATGACACAGACAAATGATTCTAAATAGTTAAAAATTCAGAGATGTAATATTTCCTCTCAATGATATTTTTTCACAAAATATAATCATTATTTAGCCAAAGCTATTTTCCTAAGAGAGCTTTATTTCATCACTTTCAAATTTAGAACACCCAGGCCTCCATTACTTCTTGGTTGGCACACAGACTCCCAATTGATAAGATTAGATACTCCTTTGCTCTTCAAAGAACCAGATCATAACTCTATCCATTCTTTCACAAATCCACACATGGAATTAGAAGAAGGCCATCCAAAACATGGGCATAGATAAGAGAACAGGATTTAATAGAACCAGTACCTACCCCCTCTTGACAAAGTTTTTCATTTCCACAAAAATTATTTTTTTCGATTTTATTAAATAAGGGAGTGCAATCCTCTTTATGTAATTTAGTAAGTCTTAAAGGAACTCCTAAGTAATTGAAAATTCTTCACTTATAATTCATCATATTTGCGAATTGTTGTTGAAGACTTGAATTGTTTTCTAGAGCAAGCAGGACACTCTTTGAAAAAATTATCTACAACCTTGAGATCATCCCATAAACATACAAAAGCAATTTTTATAGGGGGTAAATAAAATCTAAGTTGCAAGTGCACAACTATCAAGTTATAGTATAAAAGATGTCGAATCCTCGGGGAAAGTGTTGTAGGAGATAATCAAAATCGGTTTCTAACCCACACAATTAAGAGTGATAAATGTGGTTGTGAAGAGCTACAAGGAAAGTGTGATTATTCACAAATAAAACAAAATTAGAATAAGAGGGTAGAAGAAATTAGAGAAAAATAAGGAACAAATAAAAAAAAAATAAGAATAAAGAGGAAAATCACAAGTAAAAGATGGAGGAAAATAATTAGTGAAACGAGAAATCTAGATTTGAATCCACTAGTCAATTTCACTTAGGATTTATGTACTATTCTCTTTTTACCATATTTTACTTTAGACTTATTAAGCATAGACTATCAAACCACTTTTAAAGAAAGCATAACCTATCAAATTATCATCTAAGTAAAAGTAATATTCATAAAAAAACAATAACTAGATATTAATTTCTAGAATTCATAAGCATAACATATCAAACAACTTAAGATATGCATAGATTATTAAATTCTTCTTCTACCAATTAGTTTTCTAGTTGATTATCCTAAATATGACCATTTTAAGCATAAAGGAGCAATTCACAATTCATAAAAGAAATCAAACTAGTTTCATACAACTCTAGAATTCCTACAAAATTTTAGTTACACATTTTGGGAAATGAAGAGATAAAATCTAAACTAGAGAGTATGAAAGAAAGAGAATAAAATACAAATAAAAAAACCTAACTACAAAACTAAGAATAAGAACATACAAATAAAGATCTAAACTATGAACATAAAATAAATCTAACTACAAAAAGAAAATACAAGAAAATAAATCTATATTACCAAATAAAAATACAAGGAAATAATACAAAAATAAAAATATGAAAGAAAATCTATTCTACAATGCATCAAAATAAATCTAATCTACCAAAAGAAATAAAATCCTAAACCATGAATATCTAAGCAGAAAAAAAAATTACATTACAAAAGGGTTCTAGCCCATTGAAGGCAAATCTCCTATCTTCATCTTCATCTTCAATCAACAAATAAAGAGAAGAAAAGAAAATATGTAGAGGCAAAAAATTCTTTTATTAATTGTAACAAAGTTACAATTTTAGAAGGTCTTCTCAATTAAAAGTAACTTTTCTCTCCAAATGGAGTTTTTACAAAAAATTTTACACTCAAATCCTCACCATTTACCCCTATTTATAGCATATAGTAAACAACTAGAGTCATTAGATTTTACTTAGGGTCCAAGGATTAAATCTTTTTTATAAAACAAATTAGTTATAGATGAATCGGTTGACCAATCCCTTGGCCAATCGGTTGACCAACCGATTAAAATTATAATTTAAAAAATTCAGATAGCT